GAACATAGGATTCCTGAAAGCAGGGGTTTTAGTGTATTTTTTCTTTACTGTCACATCCAAGCATCTATAATAGTGTCTTATTTTGTTATTTATTAAATGAATAAGTGCTTTACGTGGACCCTAATTTCTACTTGGCTCACCTGGGTTTAGCCTGTTGTTAATTTGGGGTTGCAACCCTGGAGGATCACTCTTCTAACTTTTATTTTGGGATCCCAAAGCCCAGCTCCACCTTGGAGGTCCTACTGCTTTTCACCACCCCTCACTTTCCAAAGGTTGAATCTCGCTCATTGTCCTCTCCACTTACAGAATTGCCAAGGCTTTAGCTACTGAACTTCTTTCTTTAGGAGAGGAAATGTTCCTCCTACTCTCCAAAAAGAATATGTACTTTTTATAGAGATACTAGATTATATTGATTTCTTCATCTTAACTGCTTTTTTTCTGGAACCTGTACATATCTTCCTTTTCAAAAAGAGTAGAGTGACCCACAATATAGAAACAAAAAGCCACTTTCTATATTTGAACTTAGAATATCATCATTTTTCTTCTTTCTAGTTAAAAAAAATCTCTCGAAAGGATTCCCTTCTATTTACCAACCTTTCCTATTTCTTTTATTTTTTTCCTATTTCTTGATATGTGCATAGTACCTTGAGGACTGGACTTAGGAATTTCTGAGCTGTTATGACTATTTCTTCTGCATTCCTAGAGATTTTCCTTAGTTTTCATTCCCTTATTTATTCTAACAAATATTTCAGCACTTTTTATTGTCAGGCATCTTTTCATGTACTAGAGATAAATAATAAATAAAATAGACAAAAACTTCTACCTTTGTGCATTTTTATTTTCTAGAGGACAAAACAAAATGGATGTTAAATTATATAAGCCTCTGTGTGTGTGTGTGTGTGTGTGTGTTTATTTACTGGTAAGTATAAGGAGAAAGACAAAACAGAAGGAGTAAAGGGATTTGCTAACTTCAGTAGTAATAGGGCATCTTTAGATGAATTCTGAAGGAGATGAGAGGGTGTCAGTCATATAACTATCTGTGTTAAGAACACTCTAATCAGAGAGAAGAGTAAATGCAAAATTCTGAGGTAATTGCAAAATTCTGAGGTAAGAGTGTGCTTGAGGTCTTTGAAGCTCAGTGAGGGGGATAGCCTTATCTTTTTTGATTTGACAGTGATGTTTTGGTATTCTTAACTCCAGTTTGCTTTTGGAAGTATTCTTTGTCATTTGCCTTTGGTGACTAATATTCTTGAGGTGGTAAGGTGGACTGGCTTCTCTAATTTCCTCTCTTCTGTGGTTGCCTTTTATTCGAGGACTTTTCTTGATCCACTTTCTGTGGCACACACACTAAATTGCCTCTTAAACTGTACTTCTGACTGCCTACCAGACATCCCAACGGATACACAACTAGGGGACTAAAATTCAACATGTTTTATATCAAAATAGTTTATTACCCTAACTCTACCTTTCTGAAAGTCCTAATTCTCACCTTTCCTTCTATTTCCTGTATCTGTATTTGGTTTAACTACTCAAATAGTTGACAAATTTAGAGAACTCAGTAATCTTTGACTCTGTTATATATCACACTACAATTCTAACTGGTCACCCTCATTCTCCTGTTAACCTTATTCTCTATCTTTTGTACTCCAGTCTTTTTCGACCACTCCACCACCATACTAAACATCCTTTAGATTTTGTGCCTGTGCATGCTTTACCTGGGGTTTGGAATGCTCCTCTCATCCTACAAAGAGCTATCTAAAAAATTATTTCCTTTGTGCATCCAGTGGAGTTAAATGTGTCTTCATAGTATACATACTTCTAAACTTTGCATAGGGATATAGTGATGATCATCTTCCTTGACTGTAAATCTCTGAACTCTTATTAATCAGTGCACCTAATGTATTCTTCTATTTTTCTGTATTGGGACTGAAACACGGTATTACAACATATTGAGTATGAAGACAAACAAAAAAATTCTCAAAATATGTATGTGCATTATTAGCATTCATATTTATTTTTGGAATACCAAAATCTTTTAGAGCAAATGGAATTAATGTTTTGTTAGTGTTTGCTAAAATCCTGAGTGCTTTCATCTACTGACTCCTTAGAACAATAGTAGACAGTCCTGTTGGCAGGTAGACAAAGGCCCCACCTAATGAGGGCTTGTGGCAGGCTCAACTTCTTTGTTGTCTAGGCTAAGGGCAAAGAGCAGCTGCTGTAGATCAAACTTAAACTTTTAATCATGTAAATACAGATTTTATTGTAGTGTTGAGGTTGGACAGAACTATTCTTTTCTGTACCTTTTTTTTGTTTCTAAATTTAGAAATTTTTCTTCTGGCTAAGGGGGCTTTACTTACTGAGAGAAATTTCTCATAAGATTATGAGGGAAAAATTAAGCAACTGAGACATTTAAGGGTATTAAAAAATGCTGTTTGGGCCAGGCATTGGTGGCTCATGCCTGTAATTCTAGCTACTCAGGAGGAGAGATCTAGAGGATTGCTAAAAGCCAGCCCCAGGCAAATAGATCTTGAGACCCTATCTCAAAAAAATCCATCACAAAAAAGGGTTGGTGGAGTGGCTCAAGTGATAAATTACCTGCCTAGCAAGTTCTAGGCCCTGAGTTCAAATCCTAGTGCCGACAACATAAATGCTATTTGGTAAACTTACAATATAGAGATTCCTGAATAGCAAACAGATTGAAAATTGAGGAGAAATATGTGATTTTAAAAACCTGCATATAATCCTAAGAAGGCTAAATGTGAAGGCTTTTATTAGTTTAGCAAATATATTTCATTTGGAAGGGAAAATATTATGCTTTGACAGGAATGGTCAAGTAAAAAAAAATAATCGAGGCAGTCAAATAAATACTACTTTTGACAGATAACGATTTGTTGTAAGATTTTAAGAATCAAAAACTATAATCTGCATGTTCTCTTAATTTCCTTTTTTTAGACCATTACTCCAATTTAATAAAACTCTTTTGTGAATCTCTAAAGCATTTTAAGAATATTTATGGCATTTTAATGAGCAGCCATAGTTTACTTCCTTCAAATGACTGCAAAATGAGCAGTCACTCATACAGTGTAGAGAAAAGAATCACATTTTTATTTATGTTGCAGTCCTGGTTCAGTTCAACCTAAGCAGAAATAATGTGGCTGTAAATTACAAGTTAAATGGAGTAGTGAAAGAAGGGAAAATGTGTCTTTCAGATACGAGTACTTTGAAAATGCTGGCTAGTGTGCTAGATTTCTGCCAAACTGTAAGGGTGCTTATGCTGTTAGATGGGGAGAGGAGAGGACTCCACTGACTTACTGTGTAGTTTCTTCTGATGAGTAGAAGGATGGATGGGTGAGGGGGAGACAGATGGGATCAAATTGCAGTTGAAACCCATAAAAGATGAGACTTGTAGTGACTCTAAAAGACTGTTGATGCACCAAATTTAGAGGCTTCCACGTTATGTCAAGGTCCTAATATATAGATGAATGCTCTGCAAGTACTCAGAAATACCTTCTTACACCTAAGGTGGGAACAAATTTACAATACTGCTTACTTGAAATCAGTTTGCTGGAGTAATAGATTCTAAATATTTCTTAACTTTTCTTATGCTAAATTTGATTAGTGGTTAGAGGAATGTTCTTGCAAGCTGTTTCAAACTTGGATTAAAACATAGAACGAAGTGAACAAATGACATTATAATTATGGTGTGCTTACTCTTCTGAAGATCAGCATCTTACAAAACTTTGTCATGTGCCCTAAGGTGGTTTTACTGTGGTGTTTTGATCTTTTTCTGAATCACACTTGAGCTTTCCTTTTATAAGGACTCATGAGCATGACAGGTGACAGAATCTGTTGGACATGCAGTCCATTTACAAGCATGTGAGGAAGCATGTTTGGAAGGCAGAATGAATAGGCACATTTGCTTTTTGGAATCCAGGAAGGGTGTGAGGTGGAATGTCAGCATGTTCATTGCTGTAGCAGCTCAATTTTTATTTGCACAGAGCACATGTGAATGTGGTTTGCTTTACCAGTAACTTAATTATGAGCAGCTAAAATGCACTGCTGGGAGGTTTTAATGTCTATGAAGAATGCCTGGTGCTTTCTGGGTTTTGCATTAATGCATTATCACGACTTCATGTTATACCATGATAGGTCACAGTAGACTTTTTCTCTGAGTTGTAGCACCATATTACTGTCTTTTCTTATTTGTTTGAAGAGCAAATTTTTCATAATGTGACAGTGTCATGGGTTAATAAAATGTAATGATGAGGTATATTTAGGTGTGACTAAAGTGTTCGAAATACTGCCTGTCAGCTCTATAATAGTAAAGGGTAAATTAAAATACACATAAGCTTACCATGATTTGTCCCTTGTCTGGATTTACCTCTTTTCTCACTTCAATCACAGTAAGCCCCTTGGAAGCTGATGCCTCACTGAACACACACATGCATGTACATGTATGCACATGCACACACATCATATAGTCACTTTTAGGTCCCCCTCAGAGGATTCACTTCCTTCATGTAGCATCTTTCATTTACCTCCTCTGTTCTTATTTCCACCAAATTGGGACTGGCCATTCATGCTGTGGGTGCTCATATATGCTTCACTTCTCCCTTTGTTCATTGACATACAGCATTGTTCAAGTTGCACTGGGCTTTATTTTTTTTTATTATTTTTTTTATGGACTTTAAAATTTTTTAATATTTATTTATTTATTTATTTTACTTTTTTGTGGCATTGGTAATCTAACCCAGGGCCTCACACATACCAGGCAAACATTCTACCACTGAGCTGCATCTCTAGGCCTTGTATAAAATTTTAATAAAACAGCCTTATGCACTGGGCTTTAAGTAGATTGTAAACTGACTGAAGGAACAGAAGCTATCAGTCTGGTTCACAGATGTATTCCAGGTTCCAGCACTGGGTCTGTCATATAATAGCTTACCAGTTAATATATGTTATTTTTTAATGATAGTTACTATTTTCTATTTTATTTTCAGATTCTCCAAATTGAGGACAAAAGAAACCATGCTGAGAAGTCAGTTATTCCTCCAACCCAAGAAGATACCAAAAAGCCAAATGACCTTTCCAGTTCTGTTTCAGATACCAAAACAGGAGAAAGTGATAGGCACCCAAAAGAAAGCTTTTTTCAATTTCTTGGTAACTTATTCAATATCTCAGGAAAATCTTCACTTGGGGATGCTAAGCAATCTTCTTTCAAAGATGACCATGATAAAACTGAAAAAGATTCACAGATTCCTAGTGACTCTCATGAGGAAGGACTAAAAAGGGAGAAGGAGATTTTTAGTGACTTGCTGGAAAACCAGACCCTTCCAGTAGAAGAGCAAGAATCCAGCTCAACAGAACCCTCAGATGCCTTTCCTTTGGATACAACACAAGACAGTGAACAGGAAACCACTGATTTGCTGAAGTAAGTTTGAAATTTCATTGAGCAAAAAAAGTTGAGCTTTTGGGTCTAGTTTTTGAGCCTAAGTTCTAATCCATGTTAATTGAAGAGATTAGAAAAAGTATTCTGTAATGTCCCTGCTACTTGGTGAAAGATATTATAATCCCATGATGCTATCCAGGGAAGCTTGGGCCTTTTGAGCTACTTTAGGGAGCATTATAATATCTTTTAGGTATTAAATTTGTCTTAGTTAGAAGAATTATTTTTAATTTAAGATTTCCTTGAATAGAAGTGTTTTTTTTTGTTGTTGTTGTTGTTTGAATTCCTCCTGTGTTAGAATAGGCTAGGTGTTCAACATGTGCCTTTTAGGAACTACATCGTCTAGTATTTTAATATATTTCCCATTCTTTTAATGTCTTTTATTTGTAGAATCTAATCAAAGGTGTTAAGAAAATAAGTTGGCAATATTCATGAAACCAAGTTTAAGAACATTTTACATAATGCATTGTACATGAATATAAGGAGCATTTTAACACCCTTTTTTCCTTCTTTGATTAATGAATAGGTATAAATTTCTTTTTCCTTAGGCTGAAATGAAAGTAGTATTTTCTATCCAAAAAACATTTTTAGCAGTTTTAAGTACATTAGGCATCTGGGATAACATAAGGGTATTCATTCATAACTGTTTCATTGATTTTTAACTTCACCTGAGAATTTATTATTTAAAGAGGTTATCATAATACTGCAGTCACATATAGATTTTTCTTTATAAGTCTTGATAAGATGTATTTAAAAAAGGTAATGGCTTTAGGCAAGTTAATAAAATAACCTATGCTGTGTGTTACTGTCCATTAGCATACTATCAAAGATTTTGTAATTATCATTAACAGTGTTTTCAAAATTTAAACAAGTTATCATTATCTATTATTCAAGGTGAATTAAAAATCATCACCAAAATGTATTGGAAATGATTTCATCTTAGCTTAATTGAAAATAACCAATGGCTTTATAATCATGTATAGTTGACTGTGATTTGAAAAATTGTTTTTGTAGCATTTCTTTATGTGAAAAAGTTAAAAGCCTTCCCTATTGTGAGAAAAGATATGTTTAATTATGTAATTTGGAAAGAAATAAATCTTATTGCTTAAAAAGTAGGTTTAATCACCATATTTTCCTAAAGTGAATTAGATATTTTTGCTATAAGGCTAGTTATTATTTGTAGATGCTAATATAGAATTTTCTTTGAAGGATAACACACATATTTGGTTGATTTTGTATTATTGTGTATCAAATTTATCCAGATTATAGTACACCTATATGTAATATCTAGAGGCTTAGTAAATACAAAAGACTTAGTAAATATTCATATGAGTAGTTATATCTTGGGCTGCAGTGTATCAAAACTTTTCAGGTTTTTCGTACATATTTCTAATTCCTTAAATATTTGAAATTTCTAAATATTTTGCTTTTTTCTTACTATCATTTGGGTCTCATACCTTTGATATTGAGAATAAGATAAAGATACCATGCATAATTACAGAATATATAAAATTAATACTCCCTTTTCTCTGTTCAGTTTGTAAAAACTACAGCTTTTAATTTCCCATCTTCAGCTTATTTCTAAAGTCATATATTTTTGGCATTCCTAATTTATTTAAAAATTAAAATATTAAAGGACAATTTTATGTTCTTTGTATTATTCATCTGCAGTGACTCACATGACACCTGGGAGAGAATGATGTAGACAATAGACAATGTTGACGCAACTAACCTTTTATAAATGTTATATGCCATTCATCAGTACCTAAAGGGACTAATTATGATGCGTGAAGCTAAGCTTCTGACTTTGTTCAATGCTTTGAACATGACAACTGTTTAATATAAAGAATACATATAAAATATGTTTTTACATGTATATGTTACCATCCATGGTGCTGTAGAAGATTTTCTAGTTAGAAATTTAAACTAGTGTGATGTTTTCTTTCATTTGTAGGATTTATGGAGGAAAAAAAAATCATGGGAGTCAAAGTTGACTAGTAAGGATAAAGAAGGGTAAAAAAAGAAGGTGGAGGAGGAATAAAAGTGTAATGGGGGATGAATATGATCAAAATACATTACAAGAATGTATGGAAATGTCAGAATGAAGCCCCTTAGTTTGTACAATTAACATATGGCAATAAAGGCAAAGTATAAAATGAAAAAGAAATTTGAACAAATGTATATAAATCATTTTAGTTTAAAGCATTCAGAAAGTTCTAAATTATGTGAAACACTGATTCTCTTCCCCAGACTCCAAAACTACAGAAAGCATTGTTTTATCGAGTTGAAATGTAGTGAACTTTCCCTTGTGAATTATGAAAGTTATTTCGGATCAAAGTTACATTGATGCTTTGAGTGTTGGTGGTAAATTTACCAATAAAATTCTGATAGTAATCTCTCACTTCCTATTTCAGTTGATGTCATGTATATTTCTTTGGGTATTGATTTCTTCAGAATTATTTTTGGGGAAAAATAAGCCACTACAGTTTATTGAAAATAGGTTTTAGGTATTTAACATTAAAATTTTAAGTATATAACATTAAAATTTTGATAAAAGTTAATGACAACCACCTGTTCTTATTCAGACTTTGGATCTTAATATGTTCTTTTGATAGCCTTTTGTATTTTGAAATGAGATTTCACCAGTAACATTATTTTACCCATATATGTTTTTGGCATGTGTATTTTTATAACAAAGATTGTTTTATCTAGTGTTTGACTTTGATCTAACCTGAAACTCATGAAGTAGTTAAAACCATTTTTGTAAGGCAAAGCTTTCCTCACCACATCCCCATTAGCTACTGTATAATGGACAGTAAAAATCAATGAAAGTAACTAGTACAGTTTTTTATAATAGTGACTTGGTAGGATTTTAGGAGCCAGCAATTATATGGCATGAAATGAATTATTTCAGCTAAAATTTGAGAATTATGTAAGAGGCCCATTAATGATGCTTTTATCTGTCAAAGGAAATACCGTTTTTTATCATTTAGACAAATCTAGCATTCTTAATGTATTGCTTTAAAAGTGAGTATAAAACGTATGCTTTTAAGAGCTTGGCATACTGATAACTGGATTTCTTAGTTTTTTCATATGGATTCTATAATGGTTTTGTTAATGCTATGTTTACTGAAAAAATCAAATAGAACATTTATCCTGTATTTCTACTATGAATTTTTATAGTCAGGACTCTATAAAATGTAACTTGAGTTCAGAATTTTTTTATTATGTTTTTGGCAAGACTGGGGTTTGAACTCAGGGCTTCATGCTTGCAAAGCACCTGCTTTACAAGTGACTCTACCACTTGAGCCACACCTCCAGTCCTTTTTTCTCTTGTTGTTTTGGAGATGGGGATCTCATGAACTATTCGCCCAGGCTGGCCTTTAACCACTATCCTCCCGATCTCAGCCTCTCAAGTAGCTAGGGTTACAGGCATGAACCACCAATGCCCTGTTTGAATTCAGAATTTGGAACACATTAATATCACCTATAGGAATTAAGATATTAGTCCAAAATAGATTACTTAGCATTTAGTATCATTGCTTTACTTATTAATTCACACAAAGGTATTAAATATATAACATTTTCTAGATCTTGTATGAGGCACTTAAATATACAGACATGATTACAGAGTACCTTCCCTTAGATAGCCACTAGGCTAGTGAGGAAAAATAAATTACTGTTTAAATCTTTATAATTTAATGTGGTAAAAGCATTTTGTGTACCCACAGATCATATCTTAGTAAAAGGGAGAGGTTTGTGATAGGGATAATTTGTGAGCTGAGCCTTAGAAGTCAGAAGTAATGTCAGTTTTGCTGGTGCTGGAATTAAAGCGGAGGGAGTGGTGTTTATGAAGGGCAACAAGGCAGCATGGCTTGCTTGAGAGCTCCCAAAGGAAGACTCTTCAAAGGAAGTTGGACACCAGGAACTTCATGCTGGATTGGTTCTCTACTCTTTCTAGAAGTCCTTTCTAATTTTACCCAAGCAATTTAATCCTTATTACATGCGTTTTGAGAAGCTTAGCATGAGAGATTTTAAAGAGAATTCTGTCATATATCATGTTAATCACAGCCAGAGATATCAATGTTCCTTGCAATGAGCAAAGAAGCTCATTGATACTTCCTTGACATTCCTGATCTGCTTGTCACGTCTTTATTCTTTATGCACAAATTTCAGGAATTACAAACAAATATTAAACTTGCACATTAAAGAGAAAATTAGATACCTAGTCCTTGAGGTGTGTGATCTAACCAAAAATTGTGACATCTTCAATAGTATATTCACAAAGGTGTTTTAATTTTGTTTTTAGTAACAATCCTCTTTGAAATGGGTTATTTTCTCTGCAGACTTTCATATTTAATGATACAATAAATTCTTGGTAAATGCCCTCATGCTCAAAATTATTATTTTTATTTTTTTTCTTTATTCATTTATTCATATGTGCATACCTTGTTTGGACCATTTCTCCCCTCTGCTCCCTCCCCACCTCCTCCCTCTCCCTCCCAATCCCCGTGGCTTCCAGGCAGAACCTGTTCTGCCCTTTTCTCCAGTTTTGTTGAAGAGTAGACATAAGCAATAATAAGAAAGACACAGTGTTTTTGCTAGTTGAGATAAGGATAGCTATACAGAGAGATTACTAGCATTGCTTCCATGCACAAGTGTATTACAACCCGAATTGATTCATCTCTACCAGAACTCTTCACTACTTCCTAGTTACCTTCCCATATTGACCTCTGTTGTTTTAAGGTTACTGTATTATGTCCTTTATTCTTAATGTAACTTTACTAAAACATTCAGCAACTTCCTCCCCAAATTAGTACATATGAAGAGAAATGGTATTTGAAAGATTTACTTTGCCAGAATTGGTGAGATCACTGTCAACTGTTAATAATTATTTTTCCTAATACTCTCATGCTGTTTCTTTTTTTACAGACAAACTGATGATAAACCAGAGAGGCCTTCAGTAACATATGCACTTATCAAGGCCCTTGGCAAATTAGGAAATATTTAAGGCAACAGACCACGTTGGAAACTGTGAATCCCTTAGATAGAGAAAATGAAGGTTCTGACTGTAGTGCAGACACACACATTGACCCTGGAAGTGAAATTGAGAATGGGATAGTGCTGTTATCAGCCAGCACAGACATATCCAAGGAAGGATATTTGCTTGAAGGTCCATTGGAAGATTCTGTTTGTAGCAAAATAAATCTCAACACAGAAAGCCATCTGACAAAAATTCCAGAACTGCAGAACATTGATTCTTCCAGAGATGTTTTAAATAAAAATTATCCTGGGAGTCCTGAGAGAAATCATTCATACTCTTCTTCTGTGACTAACTCCCACTACACTGTTGGAGAATCAGACTCATACCATTTAAGTTGTATACCAGTTTCTCAGACTGAAACAAATTTGGCATGTTCACCTTTGATTACAGGAAGTAAGGGTAGTGAAGTCTGTTGTCTAGAATTTCACAGGAAAACTTCAACAAAAAATACCATGAGAGGAAATAGCTCTATGATGAGTGATGGGACACTGTGCCAAGAAGAGAAAATGTTGAGTCTCAGAGACTTGTTTCTGATTTCTCTTATAGTACATCTGAAGGGGGTGACACTACCAAACTGGAAAGCACAGATTTGCTAAGTCCAAATAAATCAACTAGGTATGAATATCTGCAGTTGCCAGAGAGTAAGTGTTCTAACAAGCAGACTGTAGATAACTCATCAAAGCAGGCTGCCAGTCACACTAGCACCATTGCTCTCCAGGGACATGCTGTAACAGACACAGAACTTGTAAATAAAGGAAAGAGGTTGTCTCCCCAAGACTCACAGAAAAATTTGGCTGTTACAGAAATCAAACACCAACCAAAAAGTACTTCAGTAGGTGAACCCACAACTTCAAGTCATGTAAAAACTCCAAGAGACAAAAGTGAGTTATTACTGAAATATACTGACCAATTGTTTGAAATAGAAGCCAAAAAGCTTGATTTTGAAGCACATAACAAAAATCCTCATGTTATGAGAATAAATAAAAAGAACTCTGCCTCTATAAAATACGTCAGTGAGTCAACAGCTGTAGCATGTTTAGAAAATAAAATGTCACCAGTACTGAAATTTGAAATTAACAGAAATCGCATTTCAGAATCTCTTCACTCCGAGAATCCTCAACAATCCAGAATATCACCTGATGATAAAACATCTTTTATCCTTGAAAGTAAAAATTCAAATTTCAGTACTTCAACTCCTACCTTTCTTTCTGGGATTGACATGCTGAGCAAGTTGGATATTCCTGTTTTAAACACTGAGGGATCTTCTGTGTTTATTGAAACTGGAGATGCCAACATTGTTGATTTTTCCTGTCAGTCTGGTGAGTGTCAAGAAGAAAATGTGGCAAATCATGTTGAGGTTGTGGATAAGAAGAGTTCTCCTCCTCCCCTTCACTTTGGACATGCATCTACAGTTCTTGAATCCAAGGAAATTCTTCCTGATAGTGAAAAATGTCAGTTTCCTCTAAGTCCTGAAACAGAAGGCACTTACTTACCTGGGTTGGACCTGTTTAACTTTGAGCCTAGCAGCTTCTCTAAGGATCACAGTTCTGTTTCATTTCAAGACCCCAGTAAATCAGAGTTAATGCCTTCAAATACTAAAGCAAGTAGGAGCACAATAGAGAAGTCTGATTCTCTTTCCTTAGAAAGGAAAACTGCTAACATTGGTAAAATTTTATCAAATGGTGAGATTGATAGTCAGAACAATGTTCCAGTAGAGTCAGAGTCTGGAAGAGCAAACTCTATAGCCTTGTCCAAGGTATCTGTTTCTGAAGTAGAGCCTAGAGACACTTCTCAGGATAACGTTTCTATTTCTCCGGTAGAGTTTGAACATGAGCCAGTGAAGACTGTGTTATCAAAATTAACTTCTCCAGCGATTAAGCAAGAAAAAAGTATTCAGTCAACTGATCATAATAAAGAGATTAGAGAGAAATGTTCAGATGCTGGCTTTAAAGAGAATTTCCAGGTTAAGATTTCTCTTCCTGCCTCCAGACATCAAAGTATGCAAGAAACAGAGGTAAATGCTTTAGATGATCCTACTTCTCTTCTCAAAAGTAATCTGCCTGGGATTTTACCAGATAAAGAGGAGAAAAGCACTAGGCATATGGCACAGAATTTTGAAGCTGACACTTGTATGGTTAGTAAATATTTGAATACTTGTGAGACTGAACAGTGCCCTCTTTCAGAAATGGCAGAACTCAACTTAACTGGTATTTCCTCAACAATCCAAGATACTGACAGCCCCAAAGTAACTTTGCCTTTTCTGAATTCTGATAGCAATTTGGAAAATAGTGTGTTTGCAACTGAGGATTCAAGCTTGCTTAATGTGACTGTGCCAAGAGCAGAAAACAAAGCCTCATCTCACAGGGGAGAGAGCCATCATTGTCTGAGTAGTGGTACTGATAGTGCGCCTTCTTCTTCTCATCAATCTGAGGAAGTTGGTATGGTTATAAATTCACATGATCCCTCTTGTAATTTTGATTCTGTGAAAGTTACCATAGATCCCACACATGAAGATGCTTCCATAACTAAACTTCTAGACCGTAATAGCTCTTATTTGGAATTAGAGACAACTATCCCAATAAGGACAGAAGTAACTTCATTTCAGGAATGTTTTGGGATTCATAATGGGAAGGTATCTCTTACGTTCCCAACCACTGCTCATATTGACAATCCCATGGAAGCAGAGACTAGAGCAGTTGCTGGGGCTCCAGTGTCAGTTAACAGCTTATACCAGCAGTGTTCTGAAGCCTCTGCTGACCATATAGAAGCAAAGAGAAGAGCACATGACAAACTTTTGGTCCTCAGAAGTAGTTTGCTCAAAAAGGCTGATGTATTGATTGAGGAGATTTTTAATTGTGTAAGGGAAGAGCTAAAATCCAAACATATAGTTAGTACCTGGCAGGAGCATATAGCCATAGATAGTGTAATGAATCAAGGTACCCTGAATGAAGACAACCCTGAGAAAAACTCATCAGAAGTGACATTAACAGGGATCCAGCTGGAAAAGTGTTTGGAAAAGCAGGGCATGGAAAGCATGTCAGAAGTGAAGGAAGAAGAGAAGGCCTGTGTTTCACATGCAGTTGGTGAGACAAGTCTCCTTTTTGATTTTGATAAAAAGAATGTATCTTGTTTGTTAGAAGATCAAGCTAGGGAATTAGTCAATGAGGTTATTTATTCAGCCCAAAAAAATTTGATAAATGATACGTTTGAAGATACTGAAGATACCTGGGATACTGAACCTCAGGCTAATACTTCAAAAATTCTGAACAATGATAATGTTAAGCCACGTGATGTGGTTAGGGAGTTCTTGGTATCGGAACAGGAGGTAAATCAAAACACATGTGAAATTAGTGAAAATAAAATATTAAGGAACTCCTTCTCCATAAGTGACTTAGTTAGTGACACAGAGTCAATTAAAGGAAAAGAAATTGTTCTGTACCAAAAAACTCAACTTTCTGTAAGTGGAGCTGGACATTCTGATATAAATTTGCGGGAATCAGATACTATTTTACAAGCTAAAGACATGCTCCACAAAGGGCTAGATGATAGGGTAAAAACACATTTATTTGTCAATGAGGACTCTAAAGAGAAAGAAGAAATAGAACATGTGGATCATCACAAAGCAGAGATAGAAGGTAGAGGAACTCTTGTATTAAATTTCAAATGGCCTCCATTTGTGAATGATGACATCCATGCACCTGGTACATCCAAAAGTAGTTTGTCTGATAGTCTTGTATGTATATCTGAAAAAACTTTACCAGGACATAGTAAAAGCACATCTCTTACAATGTCAGAAATGGGGAAAATACACAAAAAGGATAATGAAGTAAATGTAGGAAAAATCGAGTTTATACCTTCCATATTAGATATGGGAAAAACAAACAAAAGGGATGCTGAGTTGAATATTAGGAAATATGAGGCAGCCCCTCTTATGTTAGATATAGGAAGAGCACATAAAAGGGATGCTGGAATAAATATTACAAAAATTCAGCCAGAAACTGACATTTTTAAAATGGGAGAAGTATACCAAATGGATGCTGAAAGGTATGTTGAAAAACCTGAGGAATTACCTGTCACCTTAGAAATGGAAAAAGTTTGTAAGATGGATACTGAAGGGGATGTTGGCAAAACTGAGGTGATGCCTCTTACATCAGAAGTGAAAAACATCCACCAAAAAGATGCTGAGGGGGACATTATAAAGGCTGAGGTGACACCTGTTGCAATAGAAATGGAAAGTATTTATCAAAAGCATGCTGAAGGGGATGTTGGCAAGACTGGGGTGACATCTGTTATGTCAGAAGTGGAAAATATCTACCAAAAAGATGGTGAGGAAATTACTGAAAATACTATAGTGATACCTGTTACCCTTGAAATGGAAGGTATTTACCAAAAGGATGATGGAGATGTTTTAAAGAATGAAGTGACACCTGTTGGATTAGAAAGGGAAGATACTTACCTAAAAGATACTGAAAGAGATTCTGACAAAACTGAGGTGATGCCTGTTACAGTAGAAGCAGTAGATACTTATCAAAAGGATGCTGCAGGGGCTGCTGGAAAGACTGAGAGACTTGTGTTGGAAATGGCACCTACTTATGAAAAGATTGCTGAAGAGATTATTGGAAATACTGAAATGATACCTTTTGTGTTAGAAGTGAAAGAAGCACCCAAGAAAGCAGCACTTGGTTCCCCAGAAATGGAAAATAAAGACAAGTGGTATGCTAAAAAGACTAATGTAACAATTGTGCCCTTGCCTCCTGAGAGAGAAATGGAAATAACATCCCCAGAAGATTCTAGTGAGAATATTGGGAAACCTGAAGCATTACGCACAGTAGTAGAGTTTGAGAAGACACATGGGACAAGACTGGAATTCACTCTTACACAAGTGGAGGCCATGCCTCCTGCATTTGAAACTGAAAAAGCACAGGAGGATGTGGAAGGGAGTTTTGGAGAGATGGAAGAGGAACCCACTGAAGAAAGGGGAGGCTTGATATTGCATGATGATAGACTTGCTTCACATTTCAGGGGGTATGAATCACCTACATTAAGTAAGGACTATGAGGGCTACCCAGCCTTAGCAATGCCAGATTTTCAACCTGAGGACACAGAAGTACGGCTCAATAAAATAATGTCTGTTACTACAGTGTATGACAGAACAAACAATCTAGATTTTATCAATGAAAAGGAAGAATCTAATTTAGCCTTTGTTTCTCAGGATGAACAAGAAAATACTTCCTATACTATATTATATGAAGAGCCCCTTCAAAATGAGCACAAGCATGCTTCTTCAGAAGTAAGAGGAGCACGGTCTATCTTGTTACCTGACATGTCTCCTGACAGCATGCCTGTCCTGGCATGTGAAAGGTCTGAAAGTAGAACTGACCTTGTCCATCATTTTGAAAAAGAAACTAAATTAGGTGAGACATTTGATGGCGATAGTTCAGAAATGTTCCTATCAGTGGAGGCCAAAAGGTACAAAATTTATCCCTTAGCTTTGAGTCCCATTTATGAGGATGACAGCTCACAGGAGGACATTCTGTCCAACGAGGTCTCACCTGGTCACCATGGATCCACAAAATCAAGAGAGAGTGCAAACCATTCATCTTCTGTTTTGTCACTTCTCCAGTCAGTATCAGAGCGCTTAAAGATGAATTTTGATGAAGATGATAGACGAGCAGCTGAGGAAGAAGAGGAGGAAGAGGAAGAAATGGCATTACAAAAAGGTTTGAGAGCTCAAAAGAGGGAGCATGTTACCTTCCACTTGCCAGATCCTTCTGTCACATTTTACCCTGATGATGACCAGGAAGGCACCGGGCTTTCTAAGAATTTATATTTAAGATCGAATGAACCTGCTACTTCCAACCGGCAAATTGGTCCGTGGTCAGAAAAAGCCTCATTTCTACAGAAATCTGACCTTACTTCTAAACTACATTCTTCTTTAAAGAGTGCTTATCATCAGTATTTGCAGACATCCAAAGCTAATTCCTCAGAAAAAGGAGCCAGATTTGGTGGGATCTTTCAGGAACCAGTGTCAAAATATTTCCGTGTTCATGACAACTCAGGCAGATTGAGCCCATTCGTAGAGGTAAGTATTTTGATTGTTAACTAGTGAAATGAAGCTGTGGGTCATGAAATTATCTAAAAGCTTAAGAAAATCAGCACTTTTGAGGTTGTATTAATTTTATTTTTAAAAACATTCTTTGAGTATATCATAATTTATGTATTTTAGTTGAACTATTGCACTAACAAAATAAAATTCTTAGTTTTATTTCACAGCCCTTGACTAATATTGTGCAAACTAAATTAAGTGACAGCATTTTGAATTTCTCAATGTACCATATGTAGGAAAGTTGTTACTTTCCATTTAGATTGTGTATCTCATGAAAGTATTTCTGTTGGGTTAAAAAAAATTTCTTGATAACAAGTGCTCACTGAAGCTACTGCTATTGTTTACACAAAGCAGGCAGTGAAGAGCATAATTTGAAGAAAAAGCTGAAATCATGGCTGGAGAATGTTTTGAACTTCAGTTACATTTTTTTGATTAATTTTTCTTTGGTTTAGAAATGTTAAAATGTCTCATGTAGAATATTCATTGAACATGGGACTTATTTTCTGGTATTCCCAAGATCATGGAACTTTCTCAAGGGCTCTTAAGGCCTATAACTTTCCCTTGAACAGCTTCAGTAGGAAATAGTAATACCTGAGTGCCAACCAGTACCTTGCAAGGCAAAGTCATTTTGAAAGAAATAATGGGATTTAAAGAAATGTTTCTTTCATCTTTCCCCACTGCCTAGCAAATCAAGTGGAAACTCTTCACTCTGAGTATAAAGCCCCCAAGTTCAGTTTTGTTCAACCTTGCCTCCCCACTTTGTAGCTACTTGCTCCCTTTCCCACCTCTGTAGTTTCTCTCAGTTTTCTCTACAGTCTCCATCCTAACCTGTCATTGAAATTCTGTTTTTTAAGACTTTCCATACCACTTCCTCCAACGAATCCTCTTCTGAACCTGCCCATCCCATCACCTCACCTCCTTATGGTTCCATTTCCATAACCAGGCATTTTCTTTGTATTTTACCTATACATTAAACTTAGTCCCTTCTTTAGAAGTTATTTGAGAGTGGTTATCTATTTCCCTCTTCTGATGTATGCATTTCTTGAGGGCAGTGATAACACATTACTTTGTTGTCTATTTGTAGTTCAGTCCTTTGTATCTATAGAAACACTTCACTAATGATAGTCACTAGGTAGATATGTTTGATAAATGGGATTTATGACTGTTAAGAATGTGAGCTGTACATATTTCCTCTGATGTTTCTTAAATCTTGTTTCCTCCACTTTTTAAATTTCAGAATGTTGACAAACAAACTTTGAGATGTAACCCAAGGCCTGGTAAGGTAAGTATAACTCTGTCAGGTAGGCTAAGATAAAAGGTGAAAGGTAAGGTTACTTTTAGGTTTGGGGAGTTTTAATACTTTTAACTGACTTAGACAATGATTTTTTTTTCTTTCATTATTCATATGTGCATACAAGGCTTGGGTCATTTCTCCCCCCTGCCCCCACCCCCTCCCTTACCACCCACTCTGCCCCCTCCCTCTCCCCCCACCCCCTCAATACCCAGCAGAAACTATTTTGCCCTTATTTCTAATTTTGTTGTAGAGAGAGTATAAGCTATAATAGGAAGGAACAGGGTTTTTGCTGGTTGAGATAAGGATAGCTATACAGGGAGTTGACTTGCATTGGTTTCCTGTGCGTGTGTGTTACCTTCTAGGTTAATTCTTTTTGATCTCAACTTTTCTCTAGTTCCTGGTCCTCTTTTCCTATTGGCCTCAGTTGCTTTTAAGGTATCTGCTTTAGTTTCTCTGCGTTAAGGGCAACAAATGCTAGCTAATTTTTAGGTGTCTTACCTATCCTCACCCCTCCCTTGTGTGCTCTCGCTTTTATCATGTGCTCAAAGTCCAATCCCATTGTTGTGTTTGCCCTTGATCTAATGTTCACATATGAGGGAGAACATACGATTTTTGGTCTTTTGGGCCAGGCTAACCTCACTCAGAATGATGTTCTCCAATTCCATCCATTTACCAGCGAATGATAACATTTCGTTCTTCTTCATGGCTGCATAAAATTCCATTGTGTATAGATACCACATTTTCTTAATCCATTCGTCAGTAGTGGGGCATCTTGGCTGTTTCCATAACTTGGCTATTGTGAATAGTGCCGCAATAAACATGGGTGTGCAGGTGCCTCTGGAGTAACCTGTGTCACATTCTTTTGGGTATATCCCCAAGAGTGGTATTGCTGGATCAAATGGTAGATCAATGTCTAGCTTTTTAAGTAGCCTCCGAATTTTTTTCCAGAGTGGTTGTACTAGTTTACATTCCCACCAACAGTGTAAGAGGGTTCCTTTTTCCCCGCATCCTTGCCAACACCCGTTGTTGGTGGTGTTGCTGATGATGGCTATTCTAACAGGGGTGAGGTGGAATCTTAGTGTGGTTTTAATTTGCATTTCCTATATTGCTAGAGATGGTGAGCATTTTTCATGTGTTTTTTGGCCATTTGAATTTCTTCTTTTGAGAAAGTTCTGTTTAGTTCACTTGCCCATTTCTTTATTGGTTCATTAGTTTTGGGAGAATTTAGTTTTTTAAGTTCCCTATATATTCTGGTTATCAGTCCTTTGTCTGATGTATAGCTGGCAAATATTTTCTCCCACTCTGTGGGTGTTCTCTTCAGTTTAGAGACCATTTCTTTTGATGAACAGAAGCTTTTTAGTTTTATGAGGTCCCATTTATCTATGCTATCTCTTAGTTGCTGTGCTGCTGGGGTTTCGTTGAGAAAGTTCTTACCTATACCTACTAATTCCAGAGTATTTCCTACTCTTTCTTGTATCAACTTTAGAGTTTGTGGTCTGATATTAAGATCCTTGATCCATTTTGAGTTAATCTTGGTATAGGGTGATATACATGGATCTAGTTTCAGTTTTTTGCAGACTGCTAACCAGTTTTCCCAGCAGTTTTTGTTGAAGAGGCTGCTATTTCTCCATCGTATATTTTTAGCTCCTTTGTCAAAGACAAGTTGGTTATAGTTGTGTGGCTTCATATCTGGGTCCTCTATTCTGTTCCACTGGTCTTCATGTCTGTTTTTGTGCCAGTACCATGCTGTTTTTATTGCTACTGCTTTGTAATATAGTTTGAAGTCAGGTATTGTGATACCTCCTGCATTGTTCTTTTGACTGAGTATTGCCTTGGCTATTCGTGGCTTCCTGTGTTTCCGTATAAATTTCACGGTAGATTTTTCGATCTCTTTAATGAATGTCATTGGAATTTTGATGGGAATTGCATTAAACATGTAGATTACTTCTGGGAGTATCGACATTTTAATTATGTTGATTCTACTAATCCATGAGCATTGGAGATCTCTCCACTTTCTATAGTCTTCCTCAATCTCTTTCTTCAGAAGTGTATAGTTTTCCTTGTAGAGGTCTTTCCCATCTTTTGTTAGGTTTACACCTAGGTATTTGATTTTTTTTTGAGGCTATTGTAAATGGAATTGTTTTCGTACATTCTTTTCCATTTGCTCATTGTTAGTGTATAGAAATGCTAATGATTTTTCTATGTTGATTTTATATCCTGCTACCTTGCTATAGCTATTGATGATGTCTAGAAGCTTCTGAGTAGAGTTTTTTGGGTCTTTAAGGTATAGGATCGTGTCATCTGCAAGTAGGGATATTTTGACAGTTTCTTTACCTATTTGTATTCCTTTTATTCCTTCTTCTTGCCTAATTGCTCTGGCTAGGAATTCCAGTACTATGTTGAATAGGAGTGGAGATAGTGAGCATCCTTGTCTGGTTCCTGATTTTAGAGGGAATGATTTCAGTTTTTCTCCGTTAAGTATAATGCTGGCTGTAGGTTTGTCATATATAGCTTTTATAATGCTGAGGTACTTTCCTTCTATTCCTAGTTTTCTTAGAGCTTTTATCATGAAATGGTGCTGGATCTTATCAACGGCTTTTTCTGCATCTATTGAGATGATCAAGTGGTTTTTGTCTTTGCTTCCGTTAATGTGGTTTATTACGTTTATTGATTTTCGTATGTTGAACCACCCCTGCATCCCTGGGATGAAGCCTACTTGGTCGTGGTGAATAATCTTTTTGATTTGTTGTTGAATTTGGTTTGCCATTATTTTGTTGAGGATTTTTGCGTCAATGTTCATTAAGGAGATGACAATGATTTTTTTTTAACTCAAGGATTTAACATCCATAGGAATATTTGCTTTATGTGCTCAGAATATTTTATTTTCTGTATTCTAGGACATTTTGGACTTTTAAAATGCATTCTTAATACTAGTCATTATGCTTACCTACTCTATGTTGCAGATGGTTATCTATGATCTCCAAAGAAATAAATATAAACAAGAGATCTACGGTAATATTCTTGATGCCACAGCATGGTCTTTTCCAAATGGCGTGCTAATCAAAGTTGTAAGGGGCTGGTAAGAAATCTTTTAAACTATACAGCATATTGTCTTAAATTAGTGTACCTTCTTGCATTTATGCTGCTTGTGCTTTTTAGTAAAGTCATATTCCCTTTCCTGTATTTTTAGTAGGATATTTTGAAAGATTATTAGTATTTTGTAGTTTTCATTTTACAGTATATTTTATAACTATTTTATCTATACTGTTTAGTATTTTATAACTTACTTCCTATGGCAGAACATAAAGGCCATTTTTAATGTTTAAAGCCAGTAGTAGGTCATAAAACCTAATGTATACAGTCTATGCCATCTGTGGCATTCTGTAATTATAGTCTTAGGAAAATAGATTTGGCAAGTGGAGCTGAACAGTTCAGTTGAAGCATCACTCTTTGAAAATGAACTCAGAGTTTGTGGGATGCTAAGGAATGTGAAGGCTACATTGAGTCATTTGTATAGCTGACATGCTCAAGAATGAGGAATTCCTTGAATGGTTTACAAATGAGAGAAAACCTCATTTGTTATCATGTACCATGTCCATGGACATGCTGCAGCCAGAATTTCTTTGTCCAGTGTTTACTCCTGGTCAGTATTCATGTTGTAAGCATATTGTTTTCTTCACAAAATAAAATGGAACACATATCACTAAGTAGTATCCAGCAGTAGAAAACAGGGTAGACGTGTAACCTGGAATTGTTAAACTCTTTTTAATATAAATGTGTAGCTTTGTGTCTGTAAAATATATAAGTGCGTGTAAATACAGACATAGGCCTATATATTACTGTTTGCAGTAATTTTATTTCCAAGTTGTAGGTGCTTTTATTGTTTCTTTACTGATACTATCTGTCTGTACTTAAGTTAGTTTTTAATATTTTTTCAAAAGTAGCAGTATATGCTAATCGTGGAAGATAGTCCAGCTTATGAAAATTTAAGTAGATAAAATGTACTGTGACTACTAAGTATCATTTGTCTTATGCCTCATTTCTTAAAAAAATTAATCATGCATTGATATTTGTTCAGCTGGATTTTATATGAGAAACCACATTTCCAAGGTCAGAAATGTGTGTTAGAAGAAGGGGAAAAGGTGTTAAATCGTGACTGGATTCTTCAGAACAGAAAGCATCCACAAAGAAACTTTGTATTAGGTTCAATCAAACGTGTCTTAAAGGTAACAAAACTTGATTTTCCCCCAATTACTTCATTTTATTTGCTATATGTAAAAGTGTACTGTGGCCTAGCAATACTTAGAAATGTTTGCTAATGTTTGCTGATTTTATTTTCGTCATTATATTGAAAATTTTTGAATTTATGTGTATAAAGTGTTAGAGCAAGTGATATTTAAAATTTAGCTATAAAGTGACCCCTAAAAAGTACATAGCACATATATATGTATATATCTGTGTGTATATATAGAAATGTATACATATATGTATATACACAGTGTTAGGATTATGCCCTCTAGGAGTCTTTGGGTGAAAAGCCAGTATTTCCCAAACATAATCTGCCATTAGATTTCTACTACTTAGTATAGCTGTGTGTGTGCAGGCATGTTTTTGTGTGTACATGTATGTGAGTGTGGTAGGGGACATTAGCGAAAGGAGAATAGGGAGAGTAAGTGAAGGTTTTGCTTTATAATTTTCTGTTACAAATTATTATTGAAAATGAGGAAGGGCTTCCAACATAAAAGCATTTTATGAGAGTTTTTTTTGTGGTTGAGAGGGCAGGTGAATTAGTTACAAGGGAAGACCTCAAATAAAGATAGAATCTCCTCACATGTGCTCCTAAGATTGTCTTCAGTAGTAATATAAGACATAAATGGTGCATTAGCTATGTGACTAGCATGGTTTGATACATGTAGTGTGTATGTATGTGTATTGAAGATTTTGTGTATATAATTAAAAAGTATAAATTGAGGTTGACTCAATCATGATTTTGTCAATGCTAGTACAGTTTTGATAGTTGGAGAAAAAGTACACAGGAAAATTAAAACAGTACACAGAAACACCCAAATTATCATAAAGGCTTGTCTACAGATACGTTACAGTACACAAAACTGAAAACAAATGTTTAGCTAACAAATATTCATGTTTGCTTACAGATCTGTTAACCATAGTGAGCACCAAGAATAGAAATATGAGTGAGATATGGTCCCTTACTTCAGGTTGCTTAAAGTCTGGGGAGAAACAGCTGAGTCACCTGACCAGATGACTTAGAAGTACTCTGCAGGGCCCTAGGGGCACTTAGGGAATAGGCTCCTTACCTGGAAGAGGTGGCATTGATCAGGATCTTCAAAAGTAAACAAGGGTGAGACAGCATAGGAGATATGAAGGAGTTCCTGGAAGAGCCACTTTTGTCAGATGAAAAGGTTAGCATTGGTGGCTTGGTTCACTACACAGAAATTAAGGTGGCTTAGGCAGGGAGTGATCACTTGCTCTCATTGAAGGATCTAACTGTGACTAGTTCAGGTTTGCAAAGCACATTTGAGTTCTCTTTTAATTAGCTAGCTCACTAATTCTTTAAAATGAATGATGTGTAGGTGGATACTTCTGATATTTGTATAACTTGTGCATTTGCGTCTTCCTTGTAAATACAAGCAACATGGATATGAACAATATTTGGCAACCAGCCACCCTACCAGTCCTCCTAAAATCAAACAAGTAAAATGAAATTAATCTGGTGAGCATAGATATTTGAATGGATATTTGCACACCTGCCATTTGATTAGAATATGTTATAGGAAAAAATAAGTCATGTTTGCATTTTTTCCTTCGTTCTTAGAGTTATTTTTTTAGTTTCAGTGTTAGTGCCACATCTTGAACAGGCTAACAACTTTTTTTTTTTTTTTGGGGGGTACTGGTATTTGAACTCAGAGCCTCATGCATGCTAGGCAGGCACTCTACCACTTGAGCCACTCCACCAGCCCCCAGGCTAACAACTTTTAGTGAGGAAGGAAAATAAAACTATTAAGCATTGAGTAGAAAAGGCATTAGCATTGTTCTGAATATTTTACAAAGTAAGAATCAGACATCAAACTGCTTCCCTTTTCTCCACCCTTGTCAAAATTCTGCCTATTGATAGCTTCTTTTTCACAGTGACTGTTGCCATCTTTATCTTGTTTCAACATCCTAGTTTCAGTTGCTTTCCTCTGAGGAGTCAAAACTTTGACTTTCTTTGTGATGGTGCTTGCGTAATTACTTTTGGCCATGAACCAGTACAGCAGATGTCCTCAGTTTTCAGCAATTGTCAGTTCCACTCAAGGTTTATCTTTGCCCCGAGTGGAAATAATCGGCAGTGCAGTGAATCTTGATTCAAGTTTATTCTTTTCTGAAATTAAGAGTAAATGAGTATTTTAAACTACTGTGTTTACTTTTCATTTAATATTCTTTTTAAAGGTATGACAGTTTTCTTAGGGCCAGAGGTTACTTAGGTTGTGAGCCATGAAGAGAGATACCCCTTATTATATGAGGCACTGAGGGTTGAGACAAATAGATTTTCTTAATGTTTTTGTTAACTACTACTCACTCCTATAACTGTCTCCATTCCTACTAAATATTATAATACTATTAAGTTTGCAAACTTCACTGACACATTTGCAAAGAATAGCATGGCAAAGTCTGGGATGAAGCCAGTAAACTGTTAAACTGTTTATTATTGCTCGGTTACCATAAAGTACCTCTTAGTTACTAGTGTTTGATGGTCTTTGTCCATCAATAATTATACATGTCTTACAAAAGATGCTATTTTTTGTGAATAACCACCATGAAAACAGAACTTAATGAACTCTTTTTCAATCAACTGGAACAAAAAGCAGGATTCCTGTAAAGGTAACTGAGAAAATGTGCCTTTTTATTTTTGTTTATTTTCATTTTTTTAGCTGTAATTATATTTTTGTTACTATTCTGTTTCCTCCTGTTTATTACAGACATGAATGCCTCTTAGCTTTTTCCCTTTTAAAGTACACCACCCAAACATTGTTTGTATAACACAATGCAGAGGAAACTTGTTTGTGTGAGACACTTAGTTATGTATTCTGCTGCTATTTCTCAGATCCCTGGAGGAACATTTATATGGAAGTATTTGAAATAATGTTAGTAGAACTCTATTATTAATAGCATACAAAAGATCATTGAAGATTAACAGGTGACTGCTCTGGACATTTTTGTCTATTTTCAAAATGAAACTTTGAAAGGAATTATACTTTTATATCTTAAAGATAATTTTATATTATACTTTTTTTGGAAATTGCATCTTAAAAGTAATTTTCTGAAAACAAGATGTTTAAATTTAGTTTTATGTATTTTTTAAGGAAAATAAAAGAATTTATAGAGCATAGTAATACACAATAAATGTGAGCTGTTATTACTTTAATAGTCTACTTATATTCAACATTTTTTTTTTTACTTAACCTCACTTTAGAGAGATAGTTGTGAAATTGTATTTTAACTAATAAAATACGAATTTTCGGTACTAAATTCCCTAACATAGTTCTTTATGTCTTGTATGTGAATATTGAAGACTACTTTCGTATTATAGTTAGCATCCTAAATTGCTTCAGATATTAACAAGAATGAGATCTCAGTTTGGGGAAAGGTTAAAGAATTTTCAAATTGTAGTTTTAAAGTTGCATAGCTCATAATAAAAATGCAATTGTTCAGTCTTGAATAAATTCCACCCCTGATTGTTGTTGATTTAGCTGTTTATTTAAATGTATTTATTTACATTTCGTAATGTTACAGGTAGAAATTGTGCTACTGATACTTGAATTATATAATTACACACTCATGGTCACTGAGATAGACTGTGTGTTCAGTCAGAAGAGTATCTGTAATTTCTTACAAGGGAAAAATAATTGTGATTTTAATTCCCTGAGAAAGGACAAGACCATTTTAGAGTTATAACTTGACTATTGTAAGAAATTTTCATTAAGAAGAATGCAGAGGTTACCTCTTTAGTTGAGACAAGGGAAGAATCTATAAAGCTTACCCAGGACAGTGTGGAAGTGGAGAAAGCAGGAGGGGCACTGTGACTGCAGAGTTGTGGGAAATGAGTGCAAATCAAGATATGTAGAAAAGCAAATAAAAATACAGATTTGATGATTGGGTCTCAAGCCCAGAAGTGTCACAGGGAATGTGATATTTTAACAAGGTGAGCCATATACAGAATAGTTCCTGCTTGACTGGTGGTTGTAACTAGGGCCACTCTTGAAGTTTGGGCACTGACAGTGGAAACAGTTGAGGAGCAATATGTGAAAATTTGATGAAAGGCCCGGCAGGACATGCTGATAGTGGGTGCCTCATTTTTTAAAGACTATACCAGAGTATAGGGTCAAATTTCTGAATGCCTTTTTTCATCAAAACAACTTGCACTAAAGAAAATAGGGTCTCAGAAATAGGAAAAACAGATTTCCTTTACTCTCACCTCTAATTCCTACTTCTTTTGTCAATGTAAATTGGATAAACACACTGAAGAGGTAGTGCCTTTCTATTATTTATTTTTTATGTTCCCCATGAGATCACTTCTTATTTAACTCCCTTCCTCCTATAGGGCTTTGTTATGCTTCTAAGAAGGAAGGCTTGCAGACCTTTGGCACTCAGATCCTTTGGTAAATCTGAGCATTGCTTAGTGGAGCAAGTGTTTAAAAAACAACAAAAAAAATTGCAATAAAACTTTTCTATCAGAATATTTATAATTTTTATGCTTCTAACATAATTCCTTAAAAAAACTTACTTAAAAATGATTAAGGAGCAGCAGTATTTCCTTTTTGTTACTTTTGTGAAGAAATGCTACTGAACAATGAGGATAATTGTAACTGTATGTCCAGGGTGGTTAGAATACTAGCTTGTGTGTCTCTAGATAATTTTAAAGTCAAATTAACTTTTTTTTTTTTTCAGGATTGCAGCATTCCAGAGATAGAGCTTTGCCCACAGTCTGACCCAGCATGTTGTCCTATGTATATACAGCGAGCAGTCGCCAATTTGGAAGAGCTGAATATACCCAAATCTACATCCTTCACTGTGAAGTCAGGAGTGTATGTATCAATTTTTCCTTATTATAGTGATTGGTGGCTACCTACGTTAACTTTTAGCTTCGTTTTTCAACAAGTGACATGTTTCTGAAGTTTTAATTAATTAATTTTGTTTATGTTCCTAGATCACCCAAGAATGACTACTGCAGGATATAAAACAGATTCTGTCTTTCTTTGCATCCAATTAAGATTTTGATATATGACTTATAGGAAGAGGTATAGAATCCTTAGACAAAGTATTTGATAGATGAATCCATTGTCTTCTAACACATTGTAGGACTGAAAAATAAAAACATATCCCTGGCCTAAAATTTTGGAGCCTGAACTATTTCTAGAGTATATTAAATGCTGTTGCTTCACCAGTGCCAGGTACATGTCACTGTTTTATTTATTACTCCTCTCTTCCTGCAAGGCAGGTGGTTACCAAAACTGTTATAGATGAATAATTCATCCAAGGCTACTAGCTGGTACACAATGATTTCATAGTAGGCCAGGTCTAATAGGACGGTAGGTCTGAGATTCTGTTTTAGCTCAGTTCCACAATGGCTTGAATCACAAAAGTCTGTGAATGCCTGGCTCAGTAAATTCCTCTTCTTTCTTTCATTGCTGTTTCTGTTCTGTTGATGACTGTTACACAATTTTGGGGTCACTACAGTACAACTTTCTTTGCTTCCTCTAACCATGAGTTAAAACTCTTGGGCAGACTTAGTAACTGGCCTCTCTATGAGAAACATCTATTATTACCAAGTTTAGCTGGGAGATAGGTGGGTCTATTGGAAATCTTATTTCAAATACTATTCCTGAGGCAGCCAGTAGGGCTAATATTAATTCTAAAAATATGGGTAAAAATGTAAAATGCCTATTGGAATCCCTACCTTTGTTCCACTTAAGAAAAGAGTAGCGTATAGTGAAATGGTTTTAATCTTTCAGTTATATCCTGTTTGAATTAAAGGTCTCATATGTTTTAGATATTAGAAAATTCTAAGAATAATAGTGCCTAGAGCTTGGAAAATATGTTGGACTTACAGATGGAATGTGAACATAAGTACTTGATAGTCTGTTAACTCTTGTCATATGCTTTCTGGCTAGTCATTTTGGTATGTTTTACCAATATAATTGTATGGGAGATTTTTTGTTTGTTTTGGTAGCTATTTTCCTCTTACAGAATAAAACTAAAGCATTACTATTATACTGTAACCAATCATTTATTCCCTGTTTAGTTGGCTTGCCTACCCAGACATTAATTTTAAGGGGCAAGCTACAGTTTTAGAGGAAGACCATGGACTTTTTGAGATTTCTGCAGCAGAACTGAAATCACTATATCCGCTTCAAATGGTAAGAAAATCAAAAAGAATTCCTTTTTCCAAGTACCCATAAATCCAAAATTAACTCTCTATAATTCATTGCTCATACAGCTCAGTCTTGAGAAATGGGTATATATACTACTGAATTGGCATATGTGTGTGTGTATGTGTGTGTATATATATATATATATATAATATACATATTGTTATATATATATTGTTTTTCTGTTTATGTTATACAGAATGTCTGAATTTATAATGTGCCAGGTTTATCAAAAATACATGTTGTTTCATCTTAAGTATTAGTCTGTGAAATTCTGGATATTTAATAAGGTTCTGAATTTGTTTTGTTAGTGCTCATTAGAAAATTAGTTGTAATAAATTACTCTTCCACCTAAGTAGTGAATAGTAAGCTCAGCATAAATAATTAAAGGGCATTCTTTAAAGATTGAATAAGAATCTGCAGTATCTATTTCTTTTTGTTGCAAACATTTTTTTTTATTTGAAGGACAAACTGTTCAATTAAATGTTGTCTGTGTGATAAAACAGTTTTGGTTCTGTTTCTTTAATTTTTTTTTGCATTTTTTATTAACATATTGTTGTGCTGAGGGTACATTATAACATTTACAAAAGTTCTTACACTATATCATAGTTGAATTCACCGCCCTCCATCATTTTCCTTTATGTTCTGTTTCTTTTAAAAAATAGAAACCCAGAGAAGAAATTTTAAGAAACATCACAATGTGGAATAGCATTGGAACCAGAAAAATTACAGAATTAGGGTGTTTATAAGGAAGGGATTATCCTATACAACTTTGATATCATAAAGACCTCAAGTATTATTAAGTGTGTTGTTGGAATTTGGAAGGGAAAGTGTGGATATCTCAATGCTGTCTCTAATTTAGGAAGCCCAAGTACTTGTAGGGTAGACATTTTATGACTGCCATTGAAGTATACTCTACTACATGTGATATCTAAACCTAGTACCATTTGTACTCCTCTGCTTGGGACACTGTACAGTGGGATTAAATCTTTAATTGGTTACGTGGTCCAAGGACTAAATCTTTCTGTCTTTTAGTTGTTGTAATCTCAAACCTTTTAAAAATTTCTTGCTCCGTCTATATTGACGTAGAGCAGTCTGACTTGGTTTTGACTACTGTAGAGTTCTGTGCTTCAAATTTATAATTTATCATAACTTAAATTTGACTGATATTTGTAGTCTTATTAGACTTTTTATGACTTACATGTCACTTAGTTACTTACAAATATTTTAAAAATTTACATGTCTTATATCAAAATATCTTGTCATTTTTAGGGTGGACTAAAAGTAGAAATGCCTATGAACTTAAAGGTAAGTCTTGAACGGATTATTGTAGTAAGATGAAAGACAATACTAATCTGTAAGTATTTTTTGAATTATGAAATAAAATAATTACCTGAATATATAAGACCTAGTGGATATTGGGGTAGTGGGAAGCAACTGTGCATTGTGTTTGCTGAGGACTTACCCTGTGACTGTGAATGGGGAGTGTGTCAGTATACAAAGATGGGGAGGTCTGTACTGTCAACTCCCTCAAACCCACCAAGTGTCTACAACATAGGAAGGTAACAAGTTTGGTATTTGTTGGGGGATGTGGAAAGAAGCTAGCTATTCAAGTGGAAATATTTAGCAGGTATGTGGCAGTGATGCTCAGGGAGGAGATCAAGGCTGATAAGGAATTATAGGCATCCTTTTTCAGACGTCAACTTGTAAACTTGAGTACCTGAAGGGAAGAATAGAAGTAATGAAAACTGTGTGGTACCAGAATCAAGTACATTTTGGGAAAGAAAAGAAGGAATAGATACAAAATATGTCTAAGGTAAGATAGGAAGAAAATTAATACGATGAAAAATGCAAACAACCCTTTATAGATATAGGAAATAACACCTCTGGCTAGAGCAGGTAAAGAAACAAGAACCCATGCATCCTCCTCTCCAACACAAGACACAACTCCTCCAACCCTCCCATTTCTGAGCATTCTAGTTTATGGAACCTACTGCCATTTTCATAGTGACATAGATGGAATTAAAAAAACTTACATATATGAGTATTAACATACCTTGACTGCATGCTGAAATCATATGTGTGTGTGTGTGTGTGTGTGTGTGTGTGTGTGTGTGTGTGTGTGTATGTATTTCTTAGTTTTGTGATTCAGAATTTCAGGTATGACAGGCTAGGTTTTGTGGGGAGCGAATTAAAGCCTATGAGAACTGGACACAAGCAAGTCAGAGATGCAGTTAATTGCTTTTACCTGTAGGCCAAGATAGGCACAGCCCTTGGCCATGAGACAGGGAAAGGCAGAACAGCTGCATCTTCTAAGCTTGTGTTCAGAGAAGCAGGGAACACAGGTTTCTCCTGTTACAATGCCACGCTCCTCCCCGTTGCTCCACCCTGTTTGCTGCTATAGAAGATCCCTGAATGAGGAAGAGTCGCTTTTTGCTTTTGCCTTTTGGGCTTTACTTTGGGCTTTTTGGTGTGGGAAGCTTTTGGAAGGGAAAAGAATTATTGAAGGGAAAAATTGCTAAAGGGAAAAGAATTGTTGAAGGGAAAATGCTAAAGAAAAAATGCTAAAGAGGGTTTGATGGAAAGTCTGCACTGAGAATATTAACATAAGGCTTCAGAATGCAAAGCTGAGAAAGAACTTCATGCACAGGCCTTAGGAAGGCTAAAGCTAAAGAAAAGCCAAAGAGAACATAGAACAGTGCACAGTGCAAGTCTAAGGACCAAGACCTCAAGAGTTATGCATATGCAGGTTGTAGACATGGCTGTTTATAAGTTTGAGCACCAAGGCTTTAAGAGAGCAAAAGAGGGATGAGTCAGTGCAAGCCTAGGGGCAAAAGACTTTAAGAGCAATTAAGCTAAAGATAAGCTGAGAGCAAACCTGTGAGCCTAAGGAAACAGATTTTAAAGAACTGCTAGGAGCAAGCCCAAGGCCTTAAAGAATCAAGATAAAGCAAGAGCACACTTGGGAGGTATAAGGGTAGGTAAAACACCCAAAAAACTAGATAGCATTTGTGGCCCTCAATGCAGAGAAACTAATGCAGATACTTTAAAGCAACAGAGGCCAATAGGAGAAGGGGACCAGGAACTAGAGAAAAGGTTAGTTCGAGAAGAATTAATTTAGAAGTAACACACATGCACAGGAAAGCAATGCAAGTTAATTCCCTGTATAGCTATCCTTATCTCAACTAGCAAAAACCCTTGTTCCTTCCTATTATTGCTTATACTCTCTCTCCAACAAAATTAGAGATAAGGGCAAAATAGTTTCTGCCGGGTAGCAAGGGGTAGGGGGGAGGGGAGGGATAAGGGAGGGGGCAGGAGGAAGAGGAGAGAAATGACCCAGACATTGTATACACATATAAAGAAAAGAAAAGAAAAGGAAAAAAAAGAATCAAGATAGGTTGTAGGCATATTAGAATGGACTGGTCATCATAAGGGATCACTATTTTCATGTTGTTAGATATTAACATGGATGTCATGATAGCTTACTCATCAAAAAATTGTTTTTTACTTAGTTTGAAAATGTTGTCATCGCATGCAGCAAGTATCAAACCCAAATAAAACATTTATCATTTCAAATATAGCCTCTTGCTAAAATCTAATATGTGGAGAACAATAAGATCGATGCTATGTGTTTTGTTCAGTCTATATAATGTTGCTAATTTCTAGAAATAAGGAAGCTGAAATTTTTTTGGTTTAGTGTGTTTTAGAATGAGGTTTTATTGCCCAATTTGGAGTTACAAGTTGGGCACAAATTATCTCATTAGTCACAAATAGTACTAAGTGATAAAGTGTGGACACATTAACTCTATTATCATTGTTAACCAATTCACATATTTAGCATAGCTGGTACTTAAGAAGTAAAAAAACAGCAAAATAGAAGTGAACACAGTACCAAGCCAAATTTGAAGTAAATGAAATGCTGTAAATTTGTTTTGTACTATACTCGTCACACCATCCCAAAAGTTGAATCAAGTATCTAATTAACAAAACACTTTTCAGTCATTATTTTAGGAAGCATTGTATTTAAATTTAAAACTTTGCATGTCTGTTTTCTCCTTAATGACTATTAATCACCATAGAAGCAGTTAGTGCTATTAGGTGTAGTGTATTTTTTTTTTTAACACAGTAATTATAACCTAGAACCTCCAACAGGCTTTTATCTTTTATAGGGAACATTCAATAGATATGAGGCAGATCTGTATTAAATTTAAAACCCAGAGATAAATGTATCAAGATAATTGAAGGATCAGTTTATAAGACAATTTAGCCTATGACCTGACCCTAGGATTTGGGTGACCAGAACAAAGTAATCATACTTTAATTTAATTAATGGGTTTAATTAAACTAGTTTATCTTTTTGATGTTTAGGACTCATATATTTCTTGTGAAAATCAGACTTTGTTGTATGACTGCATTAATGAAAAAAAACAAGATGGCGGCCCCATTCATTGTTGTCATTGATATGACTTAAGTAAGTCAAAATGTATCTTCTAAAATATGAGCATGTTAAATAACTTTTTCATATTTTTCAGGTTATTATTTATGAAAAACCTCACTTCCATGGACGGGTCAAAGAGTTTAGTGAACATATATATTCGGTCCCTAACTTTTTAAAAAATGATAGAGAATTTCATGGAATTGGTTCAATTCGTGTCATCGGTGGAGTGTGAGTGTCATATTTTCAACATTTTATAAATGTTTATGTTTGAAGATTAGTATGAAAATATGTTAAACAGAGTAAAAGCAGCCAGCCCTGATGTAAAAACATACATCACTCCTGTAATATGAGAAGAAAGTACTATTTACTAATAACTTTCTATAAACTTGGTATTAAAGATTTTGAAATAGAAACTTTTCTACATTTACTCTGAAATTTCAATACATAACATGTCTTAACTCAATTTAGAAGATAAGAATTGTAAGATACAATTATTCTTTTCAGAGGTTATGAAAATGAGTGAGAGCCCAGTTATTAATCCGCTATTCTGTTAATCTGTCGATTTCATTTGATTTACAGGGCTGAGGACTTCCACAGTGAGCCCTATTGTGTTAAAGGAATAGTCTGGGTTGTGTGTTTCCAGATTCTAGAATTTTGACTCTCTCCCCGAACTGCTTTTGAGGAAGCCCTCTAAGAATCCCTGGCTATAAACGGTGGATAACTATCATTCTTAATCAGCAGCTATAGGAACATACACCCTAGAAAATCTATGACCAGGCTGAGATGTGTCTTTATATTTATATACTGGCAGTTGAAACCATGAAGAAGAAACTTTCTTCAGAGCTTATGTGCCATTGTTCCAATTCTTTTGTCTTTCTTGACACATTAGTTATTTTCGAATGTTCGTTGATGTGAATTTTAGGCACTGGTATCACTTGATATTTTGTGGAACATATAACTTGTTTATGCTCTAGTGAATAATGCTACAGAAACATTTTATTCATGGGCATTAAGTAACCTAAAGTCTTAGACTTTACAATTTCTTGTAACAAATTAAGTGATGGCATACCAGCCAAAATGAAAATGATAACTGCTAATTGGCCTCACATGCTGATGATCATTTTATTTATTCTTAAATTAAAATTATTACTTGGGGTTGAAAGGACAAATACTGTTTGGATAAACAGTTTTCATTTAACTTATTTATTTGTGGTCTTCTCTGGTTTGTGAACACACATGTGGTTTGTTAATCCTGCTATAAGATATTTGTGCCTTTTTCTTCCTTTGGGATCTAAATGTTTTTCCCATTAATCAGATAGATTTTAAACTAGTCTTCTACTTCACCAAAATTATCTGCTAAAATTCAGTGTGATGAATAATATAATTTTTTAAGGTTTTTACAACTATTTTATTTAAAAAACTCAAGAAAATGTCTATAATATACATACTTTTTATTTGATATTTACAGGGGAATAATATGATGTTCCCGCTTAAAAATGGCCAGCTAACTTCATTTCTTTTACCCTTTCCACCATGTTTTGCTTTTTTAGCTGTTTATCTTTATCTGTAGATAGCAAGGACTCTTCCCTATCCCTGTCCTGTCTTGAGGAATCTAAAAGAATCTTGAGGAACGTGAGATCAGTGTTCTTAACATTTCTCAGATAACATGAACATTTAAATATTCCAGATAGACACATAAATTGAATCTAAATCAAAGCTTAGTCTAAGAAAAATCAGATAGAAGGTTTTCGTACTGTCATTATGTAATAGTTTTACTAATCTTAATCAATCCTTTAATATCAAGGTCTTCTATATCTTTTATTTATTCTTTTTCATATTCAGATATAGTTAAAAGAAAGTTTTGGATAACCACATTGTTATAAAATTAAATAGCTTAGAATGTGTAAGTTTCTTGTGAAATTTATTTTCACATAATAGTTTAAGAACAAAATATTATTAGTCTCTGTACATACTACATATATATTAAGATTTATAGGTCCATTCCCTCTCACATAGACTCTTTCACCACTGCACCTCACAGAAAGTAAGGAGAGACTAGCAGTGATGGAAAGGGTATTATTTTGTGCTGTATGAAAGCAATTTTATGTTTTAGATCTTCATAACTTTCCTAGGGGTGGAGAAAGGAAAAACAATAAAAGGCAGCCTTCCTAGGCTTTATTTTGTTAGGTTCCAGAATTAAGAAGTTCCTAACACAGGAGCTTAGAATAACCATCCTTAGACTTTGCCCAGTTGTAGGTTCCAACCCTGACTACAAAGTGCAGCTATAAGCCAATTTTACCAGGTCAACATGTTTTATGGACCATCTGTGCATGCATTGCATTAGATACTGTGGATTACCTTACAAAAAGGTAAGTTTCGTGGAGGGACAACGACCAATGGTGTTACCAGTGTTCTCTACTGATGCTTTTAGATGAGAAGTAGTATACTTCTGTTCCTGGAAAGTATTTGGAAATAGTACTTCCTATTTCCATGGTCACTAATGATAAAATGGTGGGATCAACATTTCCCACTCATAAGTATTTACAGAGGCACCAGAGCTAATTCCAGCTCAATCACATTTCCTAGTTTCTCTGGTAAACCCTCCTATATTATGTTTTTGATCTGTAGCTTGGTGAGCGTGTCCTTTGACTTTAACTGTGAATAAATCATTAACATAATAGTCATTCTATGTTTCCAGAGGGCTTAATCGGTAAAATAAGAATGATTATCTTTGTATCTGAATGTGAGTTTATAACTTTTCTCATTGGCTTTTTGTGCTTTCTCTTATTTCTGCTTGGCAAACTACTCTCTGACTGTGGTGAGATATGGTAATAAGTCTTGCCACAAATACTTAATGAGCTTGCACTGTTGCAAGTCAAAATTAACTTTTTATTTGGAAAAGCCTCCAAACTACAAAAATTATTGATCAATGAAGCACACACCATTTGTCTGTCTTTGTAAATGGAAACAAAACAGATGTGTTACTTTTTAGAATATGGAGATGAGTAACTATGTGCTTTATCATTTTCTCTTTCGCTTTCTTGACTAATTTTATTAATAGCTCATTTGAATGTTCTTTGTTTTTCTAGGTGGGTTGCCTATGACAAAGAACATTTTAAAGGACAACAATTCCTACTTGAAGAAGGAGACTTTGAAGATAGTAATGCCTGTGGGGCATTAATTGGCCCCATCTTATCTTTCCGGTACTTACAAGCTGTGAGTTTGCTTCTTTAGCCTTAACTTACTAGCTGCCATAGTTTTTCATGAAATTTAGACATGACCTCTGTTAGAACATAAGGTTATAGAATGTATCTAGCTCCTGAGAACATTAAACTGTAGTGAATATGCTTCCTTGTTTTTAACTGCCACAGCTACTATAGAATATTTAGTTTTTTTACTTTTTGCCCATAGATTCTGTAATGTTTTTTGAGTATCTGCTTTGTTAGATATATGGTGCTATCTGCTGGCATTTAGTGGGCAGAGACCCTTTCCCAATATCCCAGAACAGGCAGTCTGATAGGGAAGATAGCACTTATATAAATAGTGTTTATCTGTGACTGGATTAAGTACTCAGGGTACCCCAAAAAAGGTTTACTTATTCAGTCATCTACACTTAGAGTACAGAGGGCTGCATAAGAAGGATTATAGCTGACCTCACATTTCATGTTCAAGAAAGAATTATCCAAGTGGACAATATCCAGGATAAGGGTAAAAGGCAAAGGTAGGTGCTATTTAGCAAGGGATTAACCTATATGTAAAGTCAAAGTTATAAGTCATTTGTTCTCAGGTCATTTTAATCCTTAGGACTGTTTGGCAATATCTGGAGACATTTGGCTGTCATGTCAGGAGTCATGAATAAAGGGCCTCATACCATATTGAAGAATTTTCTTTTTTCTTGAATTGATCATGGGTCACTGGTGTCTGTAGACCTAGTGAGCATGATTAGATTGATATTTTAGAAAGATCTTTTTGGATACTGTGTTAAGAAATAGTGTGGGATGAGGGAGCTGAAGCTGGAGGTAAAAGGCCCAGAATATCACAGGACTCTTAGGTAGAAATGGATGAAAACACAGAGAGATGATAAAAGTTAAAGAGTTCCTGGAATATCGGAATTTACCACATGTCATTCATTATTCTGACCAGCTCTATGGACTTCTTAATGTGTCCAGAAAGGCATGTTTTCTTATTATTCAGGTGTTGTCACTGCAATGTTGACCCAAAATGATCTTTACCCTAAACTGTTTTGAATGGTCTCTGAATCCCTCTTTAAGAGAATTGTTAGTGAAATGAAGGATTGTTGCAGGAGGGCTCAGACAGTGACTGAGAGGGCACTGAAGCTTTCGGGAAGCAAGTTTATTAAGCAAACCGGCAGTGACTCAGTGGATGCCAAAGGGGGCTTTCCTTATGTACCATTTACAGCAGGTTACAGAAATGGGGGGGTGCAGCTTGTCACATACACAATCACGTCATTTCATGGGCTGCTGTAACATCTGGGTTGAGGTGACTCTTCTCTGGTGTCCAGGTAGCATTCCCCAACTCCGTTTTCTCTTTGTTTCACTGTAGCGCTCATTAATCTCTCTTCTCCCTCTCTGCCTTCCTGCCACAGAATAATCACTGGGTCCACATAGATTTAGATGAGCACAGGGACTACGTTCTATGGCCCTTTAAGGTTTCTGTTTGATGGGCTCAACAGCAGCTGTTTTATGACCCCCGACCCTGGTAGGCAGGAGGAGCCAGGAGAGAAGAAGCACAGGATCAAGGGAACTTTTTTTTTCATAAATGATCTTTCTCAGTGAGTTGGAAACAAATTCTATCTGAAAAAATGTAGGATAGCCCATTGGAAATTGAATACTGGGATTGCTTGTGCAATAATAGGTAGATAAATTTTAAAATGTTTAGTACACAATTCTAATACACAAGGAGTTCTCAAAGCTCTATGAGTTAATAGGTAGAGCTGGTCATGTCTCAACCTGGAAAAGAGTGAAGCCAGTATTTACAGTTTCAGTGGTAATATAAAATAAACAAAAGAACAGATAGAAAGCTACAGAATGCAAGCAATTTTCAGATATTCTGGCTGCAGTTCATGGAACACTCTGGATTTACTAAGGTCAAATACCGGACGTGTTCCTTAGGGATAATGGGATCTGTGTCATGGAGTGCTTTGGAGAGGACAACCAGAAATGTGTTCTCAATTCCAAATGAGTCATTTAGATATATTGATGTAAGTTGATTGCTTTTTAAGAAAGGAAAAGACTAAAAGAAATACAGCAGAATTTAGGCTTCAGGCATTAAGGAATTTTAATTCCTTGGTTTCCTCAATAACACATTCTTGGTGCGCTTGTTTTACTTTTCTGTTTTACACTCTCCTAACTTTTAGATTTGCTTTTGCCATGATTTTCAGACTTAGCACCTCTTTTCAGACCTCTGAAACTAGGTGGTACCCAGCAAAGACCATTATTTCCCTTAAGTTAATGGATACCCATATCTCTACTGATTACTGGTGTCTCTATCAAGTTGCCCACCTGGTGTTCTGGCACAAAGAGCTGGGGGTAGGGGGTGGTTCCAGAGATCAGCTGAGGGGTTTTATGGAATTTAAAAGTAATCAAGTTACTGATCCTTATGACTTATCTTTGGGCCTGAGTTAACTGTTTATTTGTTTTCTTTAGTGATAGCGAGTGTTGTACTAGACTATCCAAGTGCTTTAAAAATGTAAAATGGAATATAGTTTTTAAGATTGTTTCATCACTGTTCATTCTTCTTGAGCTCTACTTAACATCTATGGGACTGTCAATGCTATTGAAGTGTATTTAGAAAGTAGTGATGGTAGTAACCTAGTAATCTCATTAGTGCTTACCCTAGACCTGACTCACCTCCTGAACAAAGCAGTTAGACATTTCTGTTTTGTTGGTTTTTGTTTGTTTGTTTTTGTTTTTCTGGTGCTGAGGATTGGGCCAGGCATGAGCTCTACCACTGAGCTTCACTCCCAGCTGGATGCTTTTGCATATTAAATACCATGCTTTGTACATGTGAGTCCTATAGGATTATCCCCAGGTGGTTAGACCCAGGGGTTTGGTCACAAGACTCTGAACACACAAATTGGCTTAAAACTAGAGTCTTGTCAGAAGGGACACCACATTGATTGCAACTAGTTAACTGTTCAGTTATTGTATGTTTAGTAAGGTTAAAAGAAAAATGCCAAAAGAGATAAACCAGGAGAAGATTCAGAAGGGGAAATGTACCGAGAAAAAGAGGGAAAGCAAAAGCTATGATAAGAAAAGCTACAAGTGAAAGTAGAAGATGGAGAACGAAAAATGAGGATACTCCTTAGAATATTCCTGTGTCCCTTTGAGAAGTCTCTGAGAATGGTGGTGTAAGAAGGAGATGAACTCAAACTACGTGAGCATATTTACTTGGTAACTCATATGCCACCAGCACTTGTATGTGACAGTGAAACTTGTGACAACGGATGCCTGATGTTCTGCTCAGTTTTGGTTAAGCATGTGGGCCTGAGCCTGTAGCCCATTTCCCAGCTAACTCATTCACTACATGACTCCCACGGCCCACACAATGTAATATGTGCAAATCATGGTTCAAGTCAAGTACATCTCAGTGTAACACAAGGTATTTCTAAATGATAAGGCACAAACATAGCACACAGACATACGTCAGTATTTTTTTATGTACTTGTCCTATTTATTCAAGTGAAACATATTGCAGTTCATCCCTACTCTTATTCTTAAAACCCTAATGAGGAGTAAAGAACAGGTACTTGTAGGACAGAATAAGTAGAGACAGAGAAGGAGTTTCAAAGTCACCAGAGTGGGAGAGGAGAGTTCTGTACTTAAGAGCTGCTGAAGAACCTTCCCATTATGGCTAGGTCTGATTTTGTTGGTGACTGTTGATACTGTTCTTGGCAAAGACCAGACTGGGCCCCCTTTAGCTGTCATCATTAGGTTGAATCCTTATGGTTGCCTGGAAATAGTCAACACACATTCAGTTTGTAAGGAACAGAGGCATGTCTAGGACCTTCAGGTGAGGTAGGTTCATGTTGTTCATGTAACCATGTTTGTTGATGTTCCACCAGTGTGTAAGTATCATACTTGATTGGGAAGTTTGTTCTGGGGACTTTAATTGAGATCACTCGTAGACTTCAAAACTTGATTCCTTTTCTGGAAAATGGCATTCTTTGTGTGTGTGTGTGTGTGTGTGTGTGTGTGTGTGTGTATGCATTCATGTGTGCACACGTGCACGCATCCATGTGTAAGATCAGGAATTAGTAGGACTCAGAAAAGGTTAAGTATTTTCAAAATAAAGTGTTATGGTTGATAGTGATCAAGCATAAATCTTCCCAGCTCTCATTTTTTAAAGAACCACGTGGAAGTAATGAAAGTAGTAGGTATACTTAGATTCAAAGTTTTTGTCTCGAGGCGGAATTAAGAACACAATAATGGGTTAGAAGTTATTTTATGATAATTTTTAGCTAAGAAGTCCTTACCTTTTACTCTAAAGAGTCAAATGAAATTTGGCCCAGCTAAGTCAGCAATTGTAAAGTCCTTGAAAGTCGACAAGTAGTGAGTGCATGCAAGAGAATTTTTAAAAAATGTTTTCTCTTATACATGCCCTGTGCTTTTGAACCCTGTTTTGCTTCATGTAAAATGGGTTTGTTGATTTTTTTTGTTGTTGTATTGGCAGTACTGGGGTTTGAACTCAAGGTCTCACACTTGCTAGGCAGATGCTCTACCACAAGAGCCACTCTGCCAGCCCAAACTTCATATGAAATGAATGTTCACCTTGAAGTCGTCTATTTATAGATTTTATATTAAAAATGGGAGAAAAGTAATATTGTTGATACTTACAGAGCTTGATTGCATTTTCTATAGGTCTAAGACCTGATATACAAACATTGAAGTAAGAGTGAGTTTTTTATTATAGAAATTTGAAAAAAATGTGGAATTGTTCAACTTTCCTATTCCTATAGATGACCACTCCTGATATTTAAAAAATTAGTCTTTTTTTACACATAGGGTTTTTTTCCATACTTGTAATCTTACCAGTGTTTATAGTTTTATTTTTTTCCTGTTCTCTCATCCTTTCATTTATATCTATCCCTGGGCTTTTTGCTAGTCTAAGTAATGCATCTTTGCATCTGTATCCCTCATCTTTTCAGTTTCTTCAAGAAACATTTCTTAGAAAAGGAATGTTATAGTTAGCATGAACAGTTTGTCTTATCTGCTTCTAAATAATCTTCTAAAATAGTTTTTCAGTTTGTATTTCTATCAGCAATCTGACAAAATTGAATTTTTGGATCTCAATTTTTAAAAGTGAAAATTATGTCTACATTGTTTTAGTTTAAACTTTTACTCATGAAATTAGATACTTGTGTATTTGTTTTTAATATTATTCTTTTGTGAATTAACTCGGTCTTTTGCTACTTTATCTGTTTAGGTTTTAGAGTTTTTCTAAGATATCTTTATTTTAAACATATTGTTCACTATATATTAAAAAATTTCCCATCTTTTAGTTTTTAGTAAATCACTTATTTTTGTCTATTTTTTTGTTACATTTAAGCCCATAAAATCATCTCTCACCTTTCCCACAGTTCAGTATATATTCACTTTTGTCCCCTATAAGTTTTACTCATTGTGCACAAATGAGACTTGTTTCCTTTACAGTTACTGTTAAATGAAATAGCCTAGAAGCCCCAGCATTTTATCACCTGTTGACTAATTTCCATTTATATAAATATGTTACACTTTCCTTATTAAAGAAAATGTAGGGTTATTTTTTCCTTCAAACTACATAAGAATAGCGACTATAAAATTGTTTCTTGTGGCATTTAAATTTGTGTAAATGTTACCCAAGAGTACATGAAAGTTGTGCTTAGCTATGTCAGTCCATTAAAACAAAATGTGTTTTCCTACCTTTTTAGAATTTTATAGAATCTTCTATCACCCTGTTTGAATCTGACCTTGAAAGTGGGAAGTTTATTGACATTACAAATCAGGAAATTTGTGACTTAGAAGAAATTGGCTTTGGCAGTGAAACACGATCCATTCATGTTAAAAGTGGAGTGTAAGTTGTCCACTATCCCAAGAACCTTGAGAAATTCTTTGGTGTTTAAAATTGTTGCTTACTTGATTCTGCATCATTTCTTTTTTCCTTTTCGATACTAGGTGGGTTGCCTACCAGCAGAAGTTCTTCTGTGGAGAACAATATATTTTAGAGAAAGGAAAATACAAATGCTTTTTTGACTGGGGAGGATCAAATAATATTATCTTGTCAATCCGACCTGTCCAACTGGTAAGTGGAGTATGAGGATGACAAATGCCAGGGTCATGTAATGGTACACAGTTGAATATATGGAACAAATTTTTTACAAGTGGTATTATTGCATTATTTTATATATGCATATAATAAATAAAACATGAACTTGTTTAGACTCCATAGAGAGCCAGTAGCTATTAGCATATTGAAGGAGATGACTCTGTAATTTGGTAAGTTTAATCATTCAGCAACATTTATTTTAAGTGCCTCCAATGTGCCAGACATTATACTGATCACTGGAGATAACATGACAAAAACTGTCCTGATTACTGTCTGTCCCTTCTGGAAGATAGATGTACGAGTAACTAATTATAGTGTGAATCATGAGAAAATGAGATATTTAGGCTGTTCTTGGGGAGCTCAGAGGGGATTTCTAAGTGCCTAGGCAATTGGGGACCTCACCAAAGGAAAGAATATATTGAGTGATATCTTAAGGAATAAAAGCAAACTTGCTATGCAGGAAGGATGTTCCACAGAGAGAGAGGGAATCATTTCCTAGTTTTCAAAACTATGGATTTGTGGCTGTGGCCAGTTTGGGTAATAACCAACAGTATTTGTGCCAATGAGATAGTGGTCTGAAATTTACAATCTTTCTGATGAATATTGGACCCATTTTTCTTCTAACTACAATACTACTAAAAATGGATTAGTTATAAATACTATAATTGTTTAAGAGAATTCAGTAGGTTATTTGAGTCATAGTTCAAGGAATTCAGTAAATTGGTCAGACCATTAAATTTTTTTCAAATGATATTTTCAAAAATGCAAAAAGATAATTAATATTATATGATTGAAAATTTTAAAACATTTAAATATTTTTTTTTAGGAACCCCTTGGAATAAATGAACCTCCACATTTGGTACGTTTTAAAATATCCTTAACTTGTAATAGATTATTTACTATGTACTTTTGTTCAAATCTTTCTTTTCCTTCAGATAAATTTGGTGTATCTATGTATGCTGTGGGTCAGTTTTTTTTTTTTTTTTTTTTTACAGAATGATGCTTTGTTTATCTAAGCCCTCAGAATTAAAGCAACATAGCAAACACGCATATTGGGGTACAAAAACACAAATACACTTCCAGCAGTTCATAGAAAAACACAAGCATGCTAAAGGGAGATCGAAAGACTGGGGAAACAAAAAGATGGAAAAAAAAAAACAAAAACAAAACCAAACAACCCACCATAGAACACTACAAGCACTGACAATTACCACCTTAAGAATAGTCAACACAGTGATCGTCAGGAGAATCAGATAGTGTGGGTCAGTTTATATTGTACTTGGTGGGCAGGAGTGCCTGTAGTATTTATATTGATCTGGATTTGTCACATATCTTTCATTTTTCTCTTCATAGAGCTTTAGGGTCATTGAACTTGTGTCAGTCTTTTCTATTGCTCATTCTTTCCTCATGTTACATTCTTATTCACCACTATATATGATGCTGTTTTTGGAGGAGCAGGCAGCATGGAGCAGCCACTGTCTTGCATGCTTATTATGTACTTGTATTTCTTTTTTATTATCTTGTACTGAGGGCACATTGCGCCATTTACAAAACTACTTACAACATATGTTAGTTAAATTCACCCCCTCTATCATTCTCTTTTGCCCCCCCTCCCCATTTCTTAGAATAGTTTCAACAGGTCCCATTTTTTCATTTTCAGATGTGTATTATTTGTATCATTTTAACCCTCCTACACCCTTCCCTTGTGTCCTGTTCTCCTACCCCACCCGCCAACACTGGTACCAACCCCTAGACAGAATCTATTTTACTTTCCAGTCCTCTGTTTTTGAGGGGAAAAAAAAAACATTTTTGCTTTAGGTATCTATGCAAAGAGTTTCATTATGACATTTCCATGTATATATATTTTGTATCCTGAATTAGGTCATCCCCTCCGTTTTCCTCCTTTTTATCTTAGTCCCCTTATGGTGATTTCAACAGGTTTAAAAATTCTGTATTAATTCTTATATAGAAAGTATCTCACCCATATTCCCTCCTTTGTACACATATTTCTGGTACCTGCAGTGAATGTTTCTTTAAAGCACTAGAAAAGATGAACCCCTCCTTATTTGTTTCTAGTGTGTTTATGGTTTGAAGAGGACTGGGTAAAATTCTGGAGCCTAATGTTTGTTTATTATCTGTTGAGATCTAGAAATTGTGTTTTTTTAAATTTTGCTGTTAATTCTATAGGATCAATGTTAACATGAAAGCCGAGATTGAAAATTTAAATATTTAAATTTAAGAATTTAAGCTGCCATTATCATGTAGTTAGAAGTAGCAAAGTATCTCTATTTCCTAGTTTCTGGCTCCATTGACAAGGCTGCATTTTCAAGGGTTTACACTAAAGGATATATCATGACAGGAACAAAACAGCCACAAAAGGAAGAAGGGATGAGAAACACTGCTTTCTTTGTTTCATTTTTAAAAACTGTATTTGGAAAAATTGCTGTTAAAAAGTCAAATATAGTGATTAATTTTAAATGACATTTTCTACCTTTACATGATCTTTTTCTGTGAATGTCTGTTTTTCATACTGGTGTCAGTGTTTGTATATGTTAGATCAGCTTAGATTTGCCATATTTCTATTCATAATGGCTTGGGGTTTTATTATTTTCTGATTAGCTCAGATCTATTGGGAACATTTCTTTCTTGAATATCACTGAGTAGTTGTAGTTAGAGACACTTCCTGCCAGATAATTACTTTGAATTTGTGAAAACTCTGAACTGTGCATTTTTAAAGCATTTTTTTACATGAATCAAAATAGCATGAGTAGATAATTGAGCTGAGCAAGAATGATTTCAAACTTCATTTTTTTTTGAATTTTCAGTACAGATAAAACCTCCTAGTCTCTTAAGCTTTCTTTCTTCCACTCCTAACTCCCTGCTCTTTGTTTTGTTGGACTTCCTTGTTTGGGGCAGATTGCTGGGAGGATTTTCTTTATAGTATTTCCAGTTCACATTGAAATAAGAGGAAGCAGCAGAAAACGCCCAGTGAAATTGGCTCCACTTTATATTTTCTGGATGTAGGTCAGTTAGTCTTATGAAATAAACATTTCTGACAGGTATATGATAGCTGAATATTTGATAACATGCATACAAAGCCATCTTTGTTTACCCAGTGTCAAAGTTCTTATTTTACCAGTTGACTAAACTTTCAGATATTTTTCTTGTTTATACTTACCTAAACACAAACAAACATCTTAACTGTGTATTTTCCATGTTGGAGGACAGAGGAGATAGTTATTTCTAAGAGTTCAAGTCAGAAGGGAATTTTTTTTTTTTTTTTTAATGCTGGTGATTTTAAAGGGGAACTTCAAACCACCTAAGGGGAAAAATTAAAAAAAATTTATGTATAGAGATCAGTTTACATCATGAGAGTTATAATAAAAATATTATTGCTGATTTCTCTATATTATGATGAGTCATGTCTTATTTGGGATACTAACTAAAATGACACTGCCTTTTCTTGAGAAGATTGTTCTCCTCTGAAGGCTGAAAATCAGTGACTAAATCTAATCACCAACTCACAATATACAGAATCATTTGAGAGGTCTTTATCATTAGATGGCACTTGATTTTGCTTTTATGTTTTCCTCCAAACAAAACATATGAAATAGAATATGGATTATTTTCATATTGCCATCATGCCTTTGTTTTAGCAAGTCCTGTATATCGAAAATCTCACTAGACTCAATCTTATCAAGGTGAATTTAGTTTTCAGGGGAGACTGTAGTCAGGTACTATCTTGTAGAAATTCAAACCAATTCCTGTCCCTGACCCAACCAGGTACTACTTTGCATTCTTAGGGTCTTTTTCAAGTCCACTTACAAATATAACTAAAAGTTTAGACATCTGTAAATATTGAGACCCTCTTCCATTTTGTAAACAACTCTAGCTGAGAAAAAGGAACTAGATATTCTATTTGATAAATTATCCTCATTGAATGCTAAAGTGATGGCAGAATCTATAATAGTTGTGGCTATTGTTATCATATTTGGGGCCTAGGCCAGGAATATAGTTAGTGGTAGTGCTTTCCTAGCATGTGCAAGGCACTGGGTTCAACCTCCAGCACTGCAGGGAAAAAAATGTATATGAAGGATATGACAATCTTTGTGGTGCTACAACCAGATCATTTAAAACTATTTAAATAAAAAAAAAGTCTTCTTGAGTGGTCAGAGGAATAAAATTATTATAGCAAATATAATTGATGTGAGAAATACATGACACTATAATACAAGATGTGTGTGATATAACTGCGGAATGATTTTTCTTTGCTTTATATTCTGCATGCATATATAAAGGAAGTTCAAAGTCTTGGGGAAGAAATAATTTAGCAAGAAAAATTTCTTTCAGAAATTATTTAGCATTGGAGTGAATAAAAGGACATTAAAAGATGATGCAGATATTGTGAAATAAATTGAGCACAGTATCTGTGTTTGGTTAAGTAATTAAGTTTTTGGATTTTTAGTTTGTCAGGTTAAAGACCGATTAACACATTTTCTTCATGTATAACATAAGTGAAAATTACACAGCCTAGCCCATTTCTGCAAAATCATCATAATATTGTGATAATTTCTGCTTTAATTTCCATTTCATCTTTTTGTTTCTCCCTTCTCCCTTGCTACCCACATTTTTTTTTTTTTTTTTTGGCTTCCATATACTTTAGTTTGGGAAACTGGTAGTTACTGAGACATGTCCACATGGTCCAGAGGGGATGGCCTAGTTTTAAAATAATTTGAAAATAACTTATCTTGTTCTTCTGAGCATTTGACTAGGTTCTAAGCAACCTGAGTTGTTTTATACATTTATTCTCCATTAAACTGGAAAGGAAACCACAATAGTGATTTATCCAGTTAGTTCTTCCCAGAACTTAATCTCACAAAGGTACTGTCACTTAAATTCATCAAGAATAGAAACCATAATTTAATCGTTCCAATTAGCAGTCACAGAGTTGGTTTCTAATTCTTGATGACAGTGTGAGCAGGAGAACGGGTAATGCTGTAGATGACTCATTAGGATGCATTCTTCAGTACAATGCAAGCTTGTCAGTGCAGGGTGGACCTGTGGGCCATACTGTTTCAAGTCTCCAGAAAGTATGAAGTGTTTTTAGAGCTCATTCATTCTTACTTTGAATCCAAGGAAATTAGTGTTGCATGCAGATTATTATTTCTCTACTCTAATGGGAATTATAGTTGAGATTTCATGGATTTTTCTTGACAAAAAGACTGAGGTAGAAATGTAGTAATATAAAACTATAAGCTATACCTTTAAGATATTCTTACCAGAAAACTGATGCTATAAGCTGAAATACACGACACAGATGTCTTTCTTTCTTTACCATAAATCTTTCACTAATCTCACCATTATTATCTTCTCCACCATCTGCTTCTATGCTTTTATAGGCACTGTCTTGCTCTCTTCTCTCTTTTATTAACTGTGGATCAGGAAGACTTGGGGAGAGAAAAGGCTTCCCAATGCTTCTTCCTCCTAAGCTAAACCTCTTTTGTATTTAGCACTGAATTGCTCCTTATTTCATATATAGTCTTACCATTGTGGATAATACTGCTTGAAACAATGGATGACAACACATTTTAGTGGAGGAAGGATACTGATTTACCCTTATTGGTAGAATTATTTTCTGGTTCAAAAGATTAATTAAAATAGTAAATATGTGGTGACATTCCTAGAAACATGTAAAAAAGTGATTTTAAGGAGAATGTCATTATTCCTAATATAAATTCATTGATAATAGATAAAATATGAGTTTAATATTCTACTGAATTTTAAAATATATTAAAGTATTTTTATTTCCTTATGATCGTAGTCAACTAATTTTATGTTTTATGTTGTTCTTGTAGCTCAAAGCATTCAGTAAACCAGAATTCCAAGGTGAAAGTATAGATTTTACAAAAGAAATTGCTGATTTTACTTCATTTAAACCAGGTTCTTTTAAAGTTCTCCGAGGTTGGTAAGTGTGTTTATCGAGTATTTTCTGCTGTTACTTAATGACTAAATTTATTTTAAATTTAAAGAAATTTAGATTGTTTGGTTTTTGCATACACAGTGAATTTTTTTTTTCTTTCTTAAGCATTGGTCAGCTACTTACTAGTCTATATTAATTTTGCTGAATTTGTGCTTTGAGTCATTATGGAATGTAGAAAAAAGAATGCTGACTATCCAACTTTAGGAGCATTTTAATGATTTCATTTCTCAATGTTTTCTTAGATTAATCTATTTTCTAAGTGTTTTGGAAGTTTATATTGTATGTTTACTGTATAGCATAATAGAATGCTATAAAAGGAACTACTGTTTTTATCCATGTAAGATTATATTACTCCTATTTTTTTTCTTTTTTGTTTGCTTAAAGTACTTACTATTTCTATTTCACAGATAAGGAAACTAAAATTAGTGTTAGGGTTTCCCAAGATCACACCAAATGTCAGACCTAGGATTGCTTTATTGTTCCACCCAGCACACCTAATTTTAAATCCTATATCCTTTCAACTTAAGTAGCATATTGAACCTTTCTCATATGTGTATGAAACTCTATGTGGTTCTTCTGGCTAAAATACATTCTATTATTTAATAACAAAATGTTGACATAAAGTTTTATCATTTTAGCTATTTTTGTATGTACAGCTTAGTAGCATCTTTATGCTTCTAATATCTACCTAAAAAACCCATCCAAATCTCCCTATTCTTCTTTAAAATATCTTGGATTAGTCAATTTTTATCCCTTTCTTTTGAGCTAGTGGAGTCTGAGAGCTCCTGTTTTTTATTTGAACTTCAGTATCCCAGTTAAGACCTGCTTCACTATCTTTGCATTTCCAGTGTTTACCACAAACGAGACATAGCTCAGTAATTTGTTCCGAATTCCAATTTAATATTTTTAGTCATCTGCTTTAATTCCCATTCATTCTTTAGTACCAATCAGATAAAGTTCACTTTCTCCTTTTCCAGGCTTTACTACTGACTAGTCTCATTTTCCCTATCTATTCTACATCCTATCCTTGTACTTCCCCTCTGTCCTTTCCTTTCCCAATATTTATTCAGCCATTTATTTTCCTTCTTACACACTATGGGGAGGAGACGAAAGAGGGGAGGGGCAAAGTTTTTTTAAAGTGCCAGAGAGTAAATGTTTTTCACTTTGCAGGCTATACAGGTTCTGTCGCAGTTATCTAACACTGCCATGGTAGCACAGAGGCAGCCACAGACAGTCCACAAACAAGTTAGATTATTTGCAGCTCTATAGTAAGGAAGGAAAAAAAAATGTGTACCAAGGACCTGAAATAATTTTGTTAGTATTATTTGGCTTTGAATTTTTTTTCTCCACTAAAGTTTAGCCTAATTTTCTGAATAAAAAGAAGCATTGAAGTTTTCCTGGAGAAGATCTTTTTCTCCTGGCATTCAAATCTAGGATAAATTATTTACATATGTATCTATATGTGGGAAATATACAACAGCAGTCTAATAAAAGAATTTAAGAATCATGGAGAATTGTTTAAATACCTGGTATGCTTGAGAGAGTTAGATTTGAATCCACTTCCACCACTTCTCAGCTATATGACTTTTGGCAAATGGGGTTATCCCTCTGATCCTCTGTTTCCTTATCTGTAAAAGAGGGACATTGATAGTGCCTACCTCAAAGGATTCTTAAAGGTCTAAATGCTTAGAACCTTTGATAAATGTTGGCTGTAAGATGTTCATTACAAAGAAGACATGATAGTAAATTATAATATAACAGCATTTCTCTGATAATCTGGAATTAACCTGATCTAAATATAGTATAGTCTTGGTGATCCTAAAGTATAGGGCTAAACACACCAAATATAACTTAGTAATAGGCAATTAATTTTTCCCTCTGGTTCCTTCTTTTTAAAAGGGCATGGCTTACCTGAGCTTTTGGTGAGTGCTGTATTAAAGATAGCTCACTGTTGAGGATGCTCTAGGATTTATTTCTTTTTAAAATTTCCATCAGCTATGCAGTCTGAAAGTGACAGGTTTTATATACTCTTATGTGATTTTTAACACAAGAGTAGTTTCTATGCATCCAGGCTGAATATAAACTAATCATTACAAACATAAATTTTTCCCAAAAAGAACCTCTAATTTTCTCAATTACTTGATCATCACCATAATTTGATGCCATGGTTTTGTACCTGAAGGTACTAAATGAAAGAATGTCTTTGGCATAAAGCACATGTCTTATTTCAAATGTCAGCTCTTTCACTTAATGGGTGGGTGAATCTTGGGCAAATCACCTAACCTTTCTAATCCTCAGTTTTGTTGTCTGTAAAAATAACACTATATTTCTATCTCAAAGAATTATCAAAGCATAGTGAAATAATGCATGTGAAGTTCCTAATCTATTTCTGGCACATGAATGATAGTTGTAGCTGTTTTATTAACTCCTGCAGGTTAGCATCGTAACTTCTGTGACTACCTGTACCCAGTTTTCACAGCATGATGAGGAGCCCACACTGTCAACAGAATGTAATTTGACTGTCTTGTTTGTTTTATAGCTGGCTTCTGTATTACCAAGAGGATGTTTTTTATAATCAGTGTGTATTAGAAGAAGGCCTCTATGCTGACCTTACTTCTTGTGGCTGTCCAACATCTAGCGTCAAAGCCCTCAAGCCCATTGACTATGTGAGTACTTTGCTGAGACTTTCTTTCTTCATGTTAATTGTTCTCTCAAGTACCTGGAGTGCTTGAAAGACCTAGATTTGAGCCTAGTCCCATCACTTCCCCAGCTGTGTAACCCTAGATAAATTTTGGTCATCTCTCTGAACCTCAGTTTCCTCATCTGTAAAGAAGGGTAAAAATAGTAACAAACTTAAGGGATTCTAGCAAAGACTGAATAAAAGATATATCAAAAATATACATAGCTTGTTGGTTATAAAATTGGGATTCACTCATGAAATCTAACTGAAATGTCATTGATAATTAAGCAGGAGTGTAAAACTCACAAACTAGAGTAAATGTAGGCCTGTGATTAAATCCCAGTTTGATATTTTAATCAGCTTGGGAGACATTGGTAGTTTTTCATCTCTTATCTATAGCAAAATTTAGTACTTTATAAGGTCACTGAAATATTAAAGGTGATGCTTTTAAAATTGTTATAGCTACTTAAATCTAAAAAATAACCTGACTACCTTAATATTCTGTTAGATAAGTCACATGACAATTTGCTACTTAGGTTTTCAGTGTTAAGAGTAAGGCATGGACCACCCCTGGTATTTCAAATCTTTGGGGAACTAGGACTTTTCTGCTTGGTATAGGCAGAATTATGTGGGTCACCTTGGGGGGCCTACATTTACAGAGTTAACTAGCTTCTTCTTTCCACACAGTTTATTCAGAATTTTAAATATGAGAAAAACAGGATTACTACTCCAGAGTACCAGTGGTGGGCTACTAGTTTCTGGGGTCTGTGCAGAGGATGTGGTAAGGATCTGGGAGATTTTCAAAATGTCTAATTATGATTCTCTAGGGCATGTCAGATCAAAGCTTGAGGCATACAAAGAGCTGATTAGAAGCCCTATTTAATAATGGGAATGACTGACCCCTTTCTACCAGAGCTGACTCCAGGGATAAAGACCATACTCTGGTTCTTTGATCTCAGACTAGCTATGTCATCTCATTTCACTGGCATTCCTGGAGAGAGTATTTTTGGTATTAGGCTAAGAATAGAGTCTTGACTGAGGAACAAGAATAGAAATAGAGTCCATGGTCTCTTTTCAGTGTCCCCATAGATACCAACTTGGGAAGAATTAAGTGGCTACTGATGCTTCCTGCCTGTTGGAGTTGAAGGAAAACAGCTAAAAAAAAAAACATGTGATCCGGTCAGTCTCTTCGGGCTTTGATAATGCTGAAAGAGGCATTGGAAAACAGTCAACATTTACCAGGAAAGGAATTTTTTTTAAAGCAGTTGTTAGTGGTCTAATCACAGACAGATGCTTAGTTGGTATTAACTCTAAAAGCAAAAGTTGTAAGACTAAAAATCTGAACATATATTCTTGAAAGGATTTTGCAAGATTTTTAACTCAGTGAAGTCAACCAACTACATGTTTAGGGAGGACCTTTTAAATATCTGGACAAAATTAATGAATGTTACTATTTTTCTTTGATGAGTTATATTTCTTTTACATTCATTAAGTGTGAAATGAATAATTAAGTAAAGAAAAAGAAATGTTAGTTTGTGAGTTGTGTGCTGTGCATGTCCTTAGTTTTGTTCTTATGGATTCTATAAATAGTGTGGGTGAAGGTGCCGGTTGGAAAGCACTTAAAATCTCTAGGCTTCACCCCCTGGTTTTCTTAAAGCCTTTTCCTGGTGTATTTTAAATCTTTTCAAAGTCTTTGTTGATGTTAGGGAAGCAAGTTTGGGTTTATGAAATAAGGTTGGGCATCCCAACAAAGGTCTTCAGAGTGACCACAAAGAGACTGTTTTAGGATGGCTCAGACAGAGAGACAGGACACCAAAGCTTTTGGGAAGCAAGTTTATTAAGCAAGCTGGCAACAACTCAGGGGACTCCAGTCCAAAGGCTGAGCCCCAAGATCAAAGGGGGCTTTCCTTATATACCACTTAGAGCAGGTTATAGAAATGGAGGGCACAGCTTGTCGCATACATGGTCATATATTATTTCATTGGCTATTTTAACCTCTGGGGCAAGGTGATCCATCTCTGTTCTCACTCCAGGTGCTACTTGACATTCCTCAAATCCAGTTTTTTTTCAATGTTGCACTCATTATCTCCCTCATTGTCTCTCATTATTTCTCTTCCCCATCTCTGCATTCCTGTCACATTCCCCTCCTTTGATGCTTGGACCCACTTCTGGGTCAGAGAGCATTATCTTGATCTAGGGGTTCATTTTCCATAACGGTCCTAAAAGACCACAGTACTCGTGGGATTAGGCACCGTAATATCAAGTATGCTCATAAGACAAAGAACGTTTCCCCTATTAAGGTCTTGAACCAACCTAAGGTTGAGAACCAGCCCCTGAACGGGTCATTGTTCTGCATAAGAATAATAAGTATGGAAAACCAGAGTTTTGGTAACAACACTTCCTGCTCATGTAACGTGCACACGAGTCACAGTCCAAGGCCTGGTGGTCCCCAGGTAGAGAGCTGACCCAAGAAGAAAATATGGAAGGGACTCATCATATCCAAAGGTGAGATGGGCTATTCCTCAAGCTCCTGCCTTTCGTAGACTACTCAGCTTCTGGAGTGACTACAGCAGGGCCGAAGTCTTGTTGTTGCTTTCCTGCAGTGACTGGCACACCCACTGGAGAACAGTGAGCTACTTAGCTGTGTTGGATCCAGAGAATGATGTCTGCTAACTTAACTGAAGTGGGGGTGGATAAAACAACAACAAAAGGGCCCCTCCTGTGGAAATTTAGTGGTTGAACATTACATTCTTTTACCCAAACAGATCCCCTGGTTTATAAGGGTGTGTGGGAGTTGTCAGGCTAATGGGGATTCTCTCTCTTACCCAGATTTGTGGAGGAGTCAACCCAAGGGCCTGCATCTGTTTTCTCAGGATGAGGTCACCCATTTTTTAAGGTCCTCTTGCAAGCCCTTGACTAAAGAGGGTGGGCACCAAAAAAATTCCAAAAGGGGAGAGACCCATCTGTTTGGTGGGGCTAGACCTAATCCTGAGCAAGGCTATGGGCAGTAACTGATCCCATTGTAGATCAATTCCAATTGCAATTTTAGAGTCCTGTTTATACAGTCTACTCCCTGAACTCTAGGGGCAGTAGGCCTTGTGCAGCTTCCAAGTTATTCCTAAGCCTTTAGCCACCAACTGCCACCTCAACCACGAAGGCTGGCCCATTGTCTGATCCAATAGACACAGGTATTCTGAACCAAGGGATGATTTCCTTTAACAGGCACCTGGCCACTTTCCAGGCTTTTTCAGTCTGAGTAGGGAAGGCTTCCACCCATCATGTGAAGGTGCAGACAAACACCAGCAAATATATATATCGTCTGGCCCGTGGCATCTCAGTAAAGTCCACACTCAGGTTTTCAAAAGGAGTTCCTCCAACACTTTGCACCTAGGGTGGCGCTCTTGGCCCTTGTCAGAGATTGTTTTTGGCATACAAACTGTACCTCTCACATATGCCAGAGAGCTCGGGGACATAAAATGCTGGGCCAAGGTGGTCTCAAGACCTGTTCATCTAGAGTGAGTTCCTTCATGGAACTGTTTGACAAATGTGGGAGCTAGCAACTCTGGAATTGCAATACGGCCATCGGCAAACCTCCACCATCCACCCCATAGAAAATTTCCCTCCTCAGTCTTAAACCAAGCCTGTTCTTGTGGTGTGTACTGTGGGTCCCATTCAGATAAAGGGCATGGGAACAAGGCAGCTGTCAGTGAAGTTGAAGTTTATCCTCCTGTGAGAGGTGCTCATTTGGCTTCCCTATTAGTTTTTCGGTTTCCTCGAACAGCTGTTGTCTCCCTCTTCTGGTGCCCTCAGCAGTGCATGACCACTACTTGTTTAGGGGCCCATACAGCTTCTAGCAAATTACAGAATTTCTTGTCTGTACTTTAAAAAAGAGTGGGAAACTTGGACTGTGAGTTCTTGTCCCAAAGTAAGTTTGTCTGCTTCAGCCACCAAGATGACAGTGGCTGCCAGGGTGCACAGGCAGAGCATCCAGCCTCAGGAAACTGCATCAAGTTGCTTTGATAAATAGGCCACCAGGCAGTGCCAGGAACCTAGCAGCTGGATCAAGACTCCTACAGCTGTCCCCAGTCTCTCATGTACATATAGGAAGAAGGGCTTCATCACATCTGGCAGGCCCAGAGTTGGGGCATTTGTGAGTGCCCTCTTAATTTCTTTTAAGGCCTTTTTTTGCTCCTTTCCCCATATTATGGGCTCCAGTTCTCCCCACTTTGTGGCTTCATAAAGAGATTTCACCAAGAGAGAGTAATTAGGGATTTAGATCTGGCAGAAACATGCAGCCCCTAAAAATTCTCTAATCTGTCGATGAGTCTTGAGGGCTGGAATGTAGCAGATGGCCAGTTTCCTCTCAGGGCCCAGTCTGTGTTGTCCTTGTGACAGGTGAAACCTGAGGTATTTGACAGTATCTTGGCAAATCTGGGCTTTCTTTCAGGAAACCTTATATCCTGCCTTTCACAAAAGGGAGAGAAGGAGGCGAATTCTTTCCACACAATCCTCCTGAGTTGGTCCAGCCAACAGAAGGCTATCTACATACTGGAGGAGTGTGCATCCATGCTGGTTGTCCAAGAAAGTCTTTAGGTAGGACTCCAGGGCAGTCCCAAAGATAGTGGGAGAGTTTTTGAAGCCTTGCGGCAACTGAGTCTAAGTCAATTGTCCCTTTTCTCCAGTACTAGAACTTTCCCATTGGAACAAAAAGATGAGTTGGCTCTGTGGAGCCAGGCAGATGCAGAAAAATGCATCCTCAAGGTCCAGGCAGGTAAAAAACTTTCTCTCAGCTGGGATAAGTCCCAAAGTGTGTACGGGTTTGGGACCAGACCACCGGGTGTAAAGTGACAGTTGGTAAGTGTGTCAAAATGCTTTTGGATCCCAATTTGAGCCTTGTGAGGAAGATGTAGTATTGCCTCTGGCTAACGGAGTATCTCCTGGCTTTAGTCTACCACCACCAGAGGTATGTTCTGAGCTAGTCTGAGG